AGCTCAGTTATATCATGAGTTCTCAACAGAAATATAGAATCCGCCATTAGCAGGGTTCATTAAACGCTGATTGGCGTGCGCATTCACTTGTTGAGATGAAAATTGTTATCAATATAGAATTGTAAACGCAAAATTGATCAAATAGATTAAATGAAATAAAATATATTCTCGATTTTGAAATTTACACATATGATGTATTTCTGTTGCCGTTAAACAAATAAACAAAAAATATATATTTAAGATTGACAGTAGGGTTCCAACCTTTTGCACGCGAGCATTACTCCTACTTGGCCGGCTTTTTTAATAAAGCTTGTGGAGCTGGACAAAGAATAGAGCCTAACATTACTTGCGAACGCAAGAGTACATATGCGTTTCAAATATATTTAATTTAAAGCTCGAATCTTTAATATTATTTAGCCAGAATGCTCGTATCCTTTTATTTTGTAAGCATATCTTTATAAATACTAGGGATAATCGGACAGTTTCGGATCCAAAGTTGTACATTAAGTAATGGTTTTATGTAGTATAATATTTTTACTTCTACTTCAGGCTTTTATTTATTATTGGTTTTCTGTTGAGAGTTCAATGTATAATACTCGTAATATGTTAATGCTTTTTTTATACTTTTGTTGTTAAAAATAATTAATACTTTAACTGTGTTTGTATTCGCTTAATGTAATGGCACCAAAAGCAGTAAAGCAAGGCTATTATACAAAATATTTACGATTATATTCATTAATTTCATTTATTTAAATAATAACATTTTATGGAAGAGCATACAGATTTTTAATGCTTTATTCATTTTAACATTAAGCATGATATTTCTCAAAATATTAAGTTTTATTTCTCAAAATAATTTTGTGTATTTGCTACCATATTATTTAATTAATTTTTGTGTGTGATATTTTTTTAAAAAGCCAGTTCCTTCATTACAGTTAGACGAATTACGACTTTCCTGTTATGTATTTAAAAAATATTTTTATCTAGCAAAAATTATCACTGATGGAGGAATGGTGCCCGCCTTCGGTATCACCACGTGTGCAAGGAATAGGTGATATGAGAGTACAGTGGTGTCTCCGAGGCGAGACGCCTATAGAGCCCCCTTCTAGAAACTTCTTGCCCGTGTACGTCTACGAGTGTCCAGATAACTTCTCTACGGTCGAATATTATGATGTAAGTGATAGTAAAATTATAAACGACAGCCCAAAAAAGTTGTGTGTTTTGTTTGTATTTTCTTTATAACTTTTTATAGACTTAACGAATATAAATGTATAGAGTATTATAAAAAAAAACTTAGATCATAAAAACAAATACGAAACGAAATCTTAAGTACTTTTCAATATTATAATTCAATAATATAAAAAAAACACGACTGGCAAAATCGAACTTAAAATAAAAGAATCAAGTTGTATTATAGCTTGACTAAACAAAATTATCACAGCAGTCGGGAGTTGTTCTGTGGAACATTTGTGATCAATGAGGATTTTGAAGGTCGTGTTTAGAATTTTTATTTGGTTATGGTATTTTTTTGTTTTTATTTTATGTTATTTTTGTATATAGGTTTCGTTTCGTATAGGTTCTGAATCACTTATGTATTGATGATTCGAAAAAGTGATATCTCTTTTGATCTGAAACTCTTTATCAAATTTCATTACTATCGGCTATACTTATATTTTTTATTTTTTTTTAATTTATACTTATAGCCAAACCGTTGCAATGATGTGAAACATAAAATTCTACATAATTATTGCTTACATATACATTTCCATCATTTTTCATAATTTATTTTTATGACTGGCAAATAGCCAATAGGGATTTTTTTCATTTTATATACATGAAATATATATAAAAAAGTATCATTCATATAATAAGTTCAAATCTATAAATAAATTATTTTATACCCGCGGAGAGGCCATCTCCGGCCTATGTATGCATAAGTTTTAATTCTCTTAAGTTCTGATATGAGTGCACGCTGTTTGCGGTCACGTTTGCGGTATTTTGCGGCAAAATATATATTTTTTTTTTCATAAATCGGCAGAATCTAACGTCGCGTGAGATAGGGCGCGTAGTGATATATACGGACGTTATTACGTCCACTATGGATGTTGTGGCGGCGCCACTAGCGCACGGGGTCGCCGCTGTAGCCAGGAGACAATCCAATGGAAGAGGCCGACGAGGGAACGCCTGGCTCTCACCCGTTGGACAGGCCGTCTTGTCGCTGCAGGTACATTAGACTTAGGACCAGACTAGCAAATGCTACAGGACTCGAGCGATTGAGAGGCTGAAATTGCGCGGGTCCTATTCAGAGCCAATACATTATTTTTAAAATCATTGTTCAAAATACAAAAAAATATAAGCCACGCTTCTGACTAAACTAAAATATTTTTAAATATAAATTGACATATACTCGAGTGTAATTCGGAGAAAGCAAAGGACAATTTTCCGTTCCAGGTATGTGTGTGATGGTGGTGGGGGGGGGTTATAAAATTTACTACAGACCACGCTCTGACTTAATCCGGCACTGACTAGACTAATGGCCCATTTATATTGGTAATATTCGTACGTGCTGTTCTTCAACGCCCGTGAGGTCTAGGAAGCTCAGGTGCGTCTTTACCCTGGGATCAAATGGGCCAAGGCCCGGGGCGTAAGCTAGTTAGTTTAGTAATTTATGTAGCTTGAGTAGCTATATTACATATCACTTACGCAGCTAAAATTTGAGCGGCGCAGTAACACTTTATCGATAGGGCTCATCTGTTTTTTATTAGAAAGTATTTTAAATTAATATATATGAATACATTTATAACTTTGACAGTACATCGTTTGTAATAAATAATAATGTGACACTTAATAATGTCTATAATTGTAATATAAACAGATATGGCAGAAAATGTCGCCAACAATTCCGTTAGTTCAGCACGCGGCTGCCCTTGCCGCCGTACGGGCGATACGATCTATGCCGGCTTACGAACACTTAGATCTCAGGTGAGTTACACGAAGGTAATTTACACACATACACACAATTCACTCTTATAGCAGTTATTTTAGTACTAGTAATACACACATAATAGGGAATATGCGTTTGATTTAAAAATGGCTTAAATATATTTTATTACGAGCATTATTCCTTTAGAATAAAGTCTATGTTAATATTTTTCAACATTAGTTCGTTTTCGTCTTGAAAATAATTATTAAAAAGTGCAAAAGAAGATGCGGTAACTTCAAAATATTCAAACATCATGCTACTTGTTAGAGCGGATGTGACGAAAATGTACACGTATAGGGCTGTCGTTGTAACAAAAAGTTAACATCGATGCACTAACATCAATGTATTATGTAGCAAAATAAACAATTGATTACAATTTAAATGATGTTTTAGGCTTTTATTTTTAATTCACTAATTTGGTATATGAGTTATTAAAAAAGTCTATTATACTTAAAAAATCGATTAGTTGCTAATCGATTTGGGTTATTGAATAATAATCAATCACTCAAAATCCATATTGATTTAAAATGTCATATCTCTAGTCGTGTACTTTGACGTCACGACAAGATTCCGGAAAAAAATCCGGCGTTTAAACTGCTCGTAGCTATTACTTATTTTCATCAATTATGAATGTTACACAATTTTTGTTTTTTGGTGCCAGGTGTTTTTTTACAGTTGTATATCGATGTAAATTATCAATTAAAAATATTTTCCATAAGTGTGCATATTCCCTATTGTCTATGAGTACACTTAATTCATGGAAAATTATGTCACCTTCCTAATGGCTGGTTTACATCTAATTAAGTAGTAAGTAGATTCTAATTTTAAATTCAATTAAGCTCACAAGTCATTTACCTAATGGCTGATTTACACGTATTTAAGTAGAAACGTGTACTTTTAACTTAATTTTATGTGATTAAGTACGTATAAATATATTACACAAATTAGTAAGAAGTTATAATATAGGTTACTAATTAAGAGTTTAATTTAAAATTAGAATCGAACCACTAATTTTATACTTAATTACGTGTACACCATAAAATTTTACTTACTACTTAACTACGTTTAAATCAATCATTAATCGAAAAATTCGCCTAGCTATTTTTGCTATCTAGTTTTTCCACTAGATGAAGACATTTATGTAGGAAGACAATGAACAAATGTTGTTAATAAATGTCTGCCTTAGACATAGCACTAATAATTTTGGACTTCAGGTCGTTACGATCATATTGACATGCGATTATTATGTAAACGTTACCAGAATCGGCCTGCTGAAATAATTTAACTTCCGACACATATGAATTTTAGAATGTTTGCGCTAATATTTTTTTTTTTTTATAATTTTTTTAAAAACCTAACTACAATTCCAATTTTTATAATATAGAATAGGGTAGAATGCGTTTTCCAAGTGACATGTAGAAGATAATGAAGTTCAAGAATAATTACATTTCGTTTGCGACTCACTGGGCGTATGAGGAATCAAATAATGAAGTAGTTGTGGGCATATATGGTTTAACTTAAAAACTGTTGGGTGAATTTAAAAGTTCCAAACAAAATAAGTCATAAATTTAATTCTTCATAGCTCCTTAGTAACATCATTCGGATGATAGTAACCAAGATGATCCCGAAAATATTTTTTTTATGACCTTGACTATCTTACCTAAATCTTATTACCCTCCTGCCAGATCTTTAGTGTTCATAAATAACAAAAAGTCATTGAACAAGTTCAGAAACTTCTCGAAAACCAGCAGTAGCGTAACTATACCGTTTGAGGCCCGTAGCAGATTCATCGGATCTTCATTTATTTTTTACTAATTGCGTAATAATAAATGTCAGGAGTAAGGAGTCTCCTCTGACCGGGGGCCCCTTCCAGCTGGGGGCCCGTGACATTTTGCCGACTTGCCACCCTGTAGTTACGCCACTATCTACCAGCCCTTGGACTCGGATACTTCTCGAAAAATATCTATCAGCCCTTGGTCACAAACACTTCTCGAAAAATATCTACAAAACCTTGGACTATTTTAAATTAGTATATAGTTAAATGAAATTATTTTATTTACAGAATTAAATGGCCAAACGATATTTACTTTGGCCGCGAAGTGAAAATAGGCGGTATAATGACGTTGGCGAATTGCATCGGCGATGACGTCATCATCACTGTGGGTCAGTGCTAGTGTTGCATATTTATATGCTTGGTTGTTATTTTTTATTCAACTTTAACACGTTATTTGGATATTATTTGTTTATCCAAATTCTAATGTTCATCATCATCAACGTCACCAGCCTATTAATGTCCCCTATGCTGGGCTTAGGCCTTTCCTATGGATGGGATCGAATTGAATTTGAAGCTTGGGCCATAACCCACCACGCGGGCCCAATGCGGATTGGTGGATATTAATGACTGCGGATGCAGCCAGGACCAACGGCTTTGTAGCAGGTGGACTGTAGCTGGATTTGAAAGTGGGCAGGTAGCAGAGGTCTCGAATAAAACACTTGGTTCGGAGAAACTCGGAGAAGGCAGAACATGCTTTATTGCGCAAAATCGATTTCTTACATACAATTTGATTGATCGCACTTAGCTCATACACAAATCAGTTAATCTTATTAGATTCCTTAGAGAGGGGGTACGCTACCCCGCACCGCACGGGGAGGGGAAGGTTTCGTTGTTTCTCTGTTGGTGGCGCTGTTGTCGCGGCGTGGCTCGGTGTCCTTTACAGGCTTAACGTGCCTTCCGAAGCACGGAGGAGTTCGAGACAATATATTTTTTATCACTCATCCTATAATCGTCTATTGGGAAAGTTGCTTAACAACCGTATTGCATGTTGGACAAGAATTTGCTTCCAAAGGGGATGTCCCAAAAAGAAGCAGATCTATGTACACCAGCTTAGAAAAACAGGCCGTGTTCGAGTAGGTCTCGTGCACTAAGGGTCCCTTGCCATTATGTACAAAAAACGCAAGAAAAAAATTTTTTTTGCTGTATAGGAACTCCCCTTAATATACATATTTGATTATGTTTTAGTGTTTGTTGTTATAGCGGCCACAGAAAATAATCATCTGTGAAAATTTCAACTGTCTTGCTATAAGGGCTTATAAGGTGACCTTAATAGACAGGCGGACAGTGGAGTCTTAATAATATAGTCCCATTTTCATCCTTTGGGTACGGAATCTATTGAACATCAATTGAAATGGAGTACCTTCTTTTTTTAAGGCGATTAATAATGAGTTTGATTATGACTAAGCTGAAATGCTGACGAGTTTTTTCTTTATTATAGGAACAGGAGTCAACATCACTAATAGTATACCGACGATATGCGTCAACGATATAATAGCGGATCACAATAGGAAACATGGCACAACACTAGCGCCGATCACTGTAGAACGATTTTTGGCGCGATACTGCTCCGAGTTGGAGCGATCGCTTGAGTATATGGCGACCGAGGGCGGAGTACGAGCTTTCTTAGAACAGTACTACCAGTATTGGCTGCACACGTGAGTATTATACTTACTTTAAAACGCATCAACTAGTTGTTATATAATCAAAACAAATATTTGGCAAAAAAGTGCGTGACTGCCTGCGAGCGGGTATCATTTGAATAAATAACTATGTGACGGTATTACACACATTTATTAGATACATATCAAATTAAGCAACTAAGGCAGTTGCATTGTGAAAGTCCGAAACAATGCAACGCAACACAAACAGGAGGCAATAAAGGAAGATAATTTTTTATATTGACCCGGCCAAGAATCGGACTCCGGAACTCCGAAAACTCCGGCTACGCAGAAGGATTTGCATGCTATGTTCAAAATAACAGAACAAAATGACATTAAATTCACAAAATGACAATAGACTCGTGGGTTTATTTTGAAAGACTCAATCAAATCGATCCTGTTAGGATTGAATCTCAACAAACTCAGCTTTAAAAAAAACATAAAAAAGAAGACATGTCGAAGATTGGATTGATAAGAATCGATAAATAAATCAGACCAATTTATTCAAAGTGACTCGATATGTCCTCTTGTCTCGTTGTCTTATGGCTGTTAGGTTACATAATTATGTCACATATTAAATGGCCGCATTTTTGCGTCAAATTTAAATGTTACTGATATGATAACTTTTTATTTTCATTAAAAGTTGTAATTCAATTTATTTCTAGGGCATATTTAAACATAATAATTAATCTATATTAAGTTATTAATTATACTCCTGAATTGAAAACGCAGTTTGCCAGGATTAAAACCTAATTTGAGCAACGGAAATGACATCCTTAAGGACTTTTTAATTTTTATATTTCAAACAGACATCGTGTTAATTTATTTTTTTACGTACCCCCTCCCCCTCCCCTCCCTCGACTGTATAAACGATTTTGTGTAGAGACGAGGAGATCCGCGTACAGACTGAAGGCGGCAACACCCCCGTCCACGGGCGTATAGTGGGCGTGGACGCGGCGGGCTGGCTCCTAGTCCGCACCGCCGCGTCCACGCTCCAACTGGAGCCGGACGGTAACACGTTCGACATCATGGCGGGACTGGTCGCGCCGAAACGATAACGTCAGATTAGTATGTTTCATACATTGGGACAGCCGGAGGAACTTAGTGACGTCACCGTATACAATGATTATTTGTTTATCTAGCTGCCAGTACTATACCAGTGGTTCCTAACCTGCGGTAATTATAAAAAATAATAAAAACATTTTTGTGTTGGCAGCCGAAAAGGATAAGCACCGCTGGTGTGTACGATACGATTCTCATGTAGTTTTTTATGACAATACCCTCTTTAATAGTAATATAATGATAACGCATTGAATTTTTTTTTTTCATAGAAAAACGCTGAACGTTATCTCAAATTATATTCGTTTGTTTTTTTTTTTCTCAATTGTTTTATTTATTTTTGTGTTACTAATATTCTCACGGTAAGTTAATTTGCAATTATCAATGAGAATAAAGATTGTTATAATGTTTATTTCAGATTTTATACATCCAGGTTACTAGCCATAATAGATGAGTAATGACAAATTGTATAGTAATTAAATGTAAAAATAAATTATGACTTTTCAAAATTTTCCCTATACTATAATGATGTACCAAAAATTTATAAACAAAAATATAATTGATTAGAAAACTTAAATAACTGTATGATCGTTATAAATCTATTTGGCATAGAAATTACTTATTATTTGAAAATTATTACAAGGAATAGGGATTTTTAGATGATAGAAATTATTATTTTTTATTGGTGAATAAAATGCTATTGTCTTGTCCCTATATATTAGTGGAAACAATATTGTATTCATGAAATAGGAATGAATATATATGTTATTTTCAATATATGTATGTTTATCACATTAGCACATAATCATAGTAATAAAAAATAGTATCTAGAATAAAATCCAATAGTCCAATCCATACAAGAATATATAGTTATATTAGAAAGGCTGAAAAACTAATTAAGATACTTATTAGGAAGTGGCACAAATATTAATCATAACCAAATGGTATATGTACACATTTTAGCACATCAAGTTAATACAAAGATATCAAAGTTTCGTTTAAGTCGTTATTGAACTTTACTGCTAATGTATTAAGGTTTGAAATCAATTGGAGAATCATTGTCAGTTTTATAAATTAATGTAATTTTGATTGTACCGTGTACAGCTACAGCCATTACAAGATGGCGCCAGTTACATAGCAGCACGTCAGGTTCGAAAATACTGCAAACGATTTTGAACTTAAAATTTAGTGGTTTAAAATGTTATATTGTTTAGCCTGTTGTAGTGATTTGATGTGCTTTCAATTGTATTTTGAATGCATTTTTAGTGATATGAATATACAATCTTCCAAATATAATCCAAAAGTAAGTTATCTTTTTTGAAAGTATAAACGTCGTTTATGAGTGTTTTGCGTCATTTAATAAAATTGTATGAAATTAACCGACTTGTGTAACCAGTATGCTTACTCTTGAGCGAAATCTTGATCGATCGACACTGTAACGTTTCGTTAGCTTAGTTCGTGGTTATTGATGAACTTATTGACATTGAGTAAGTTTTGAGTCTTATGTTTGAAGAGTACTAAGATTTGATCGAAAATTGAGATATTGACATTGAAATTGCGTTCAAAAGTAAGCTTGGGAGACCCGATCTATACTACAGCCAAATTCGATGAAGAATGTTTACTAACAAAGCTCAGTAACCAGTGACATGCGGACATTAATAATCTTTCTAAACTAGACAATTTTTTTTTCTATTCGAGATACTAATATATAAAATATTTTAAGCGGTTAAGATAGAAATCAGCATTTGAATTATATAGTAATTCGATGAAGAATGTTTAAATAAAAAAAAAACTTTTTGTTTTAAACAGTAGAAAGGAACACCGAACTTTCACGCGGGGTTTGCTTACATTATGCGATCAATTTCAAATGTAGTCAATCTAAAGGAACATGTTTTATAATAATTGACAACTTTATTTGGGAAGTTATTTTAAAACTACAAACATATTTCTAATATCTGAGTTCTATAGGACTGTCAAGTAAAAATAATGTCAGTTTTTTTTACTATTTCATCTAAGTTGTGATGACCCTAATTTGCTTTGTTTACATTTATTCTTTGTCTAATTTGGCTGGAGTATAGATATATTGCCAGTCTGGACAAAAATAATATTAGCTATCTATAAGAGTCAGAACCTTTCTATGTTAGTCAAGATGTTGAATGTGTGATATTTTTGAAAATGTGCTTCTTTCACATATGTCAGCCATTAGGGTTTCTAAACATGTATGTACTTCAATATCACCGGCTCACATTTTTACCGCATGGGGCGATTGTCCGGAATTCCTCTCCCTTAGTTCGGGCCCTGTGTATAATTTATAGTATATGTTACACGTATGTATTTTAAAATAGATTCCTAGCACAAAATGACGTCAATAATAATTACTTTATTTGCAAAAAAATGACAACATAATATATATTAAATTTTCCATACAGGTGTACAAACATTTTTTTTCTTTTTGATAATGAAATAGGTTTATGTAAATTTCGTTATTACTACCAAGAAGTCAAGATATATAGAATTATCAGATGTTCTATGATGACCTATGACCGTAAAATCGGTCCAGTGAGCACATTTTGCCTTCGAGAAACTACGCTATAATTTACGCGGGCCTACTCGCGGCCTTATAAAACAGCTTGTAATAAAATGTACTGCTTAAACTTGTATTGAAAAATAAAAGGAACATACTTTGATAACAAAAACCTTCTTGCTTAATCTTTGAGAAATCCTATAAGTCTATGATATATATCGGAAAAACAATAAATATTATAATTTAGCTATCATCTTAGATTTGTAGTATGTAAATGTATTTTTTTTTATCGTGTCTAGGATATTTATTTATTTTGTAAGTTTAAAATTACACATCGTATGTAGCTTGGGTACACTGTTTCGTTTTGAACGTTTTACAGGGATCGATATGAAGGTTGTAAATAGTTATTACTAGCCTTATCACATTTGGTATGAATTGCCATAACACTGCCACGTTCTATAATTAATGTAAGAGACATATGTAAATAATCCATTTTCTGGAAAATGCTTGAATATTAAATACTCTCATATGTTCGTGTCAAATGAAAATGCACTTTAAGTAAGTTAAGATAAAAATGGAATCTCGAAGTTGAATAGTTTTTGTTTTTTAATATAAAATCAAAAAGAACAAGACGTATGTCACTAATAACATAAGTGATTTAAAAAATAAAGAAAGCAAATAAAAATCTAAAATATCACGCTGTAAAATTATAATCAATTGATAAATTGTTTTTAGCGTCTTATTAAAAAGAAATAATTATGTAGTTAATAGGTAGAATCATGTGGGGCAAGAGTGTGCAATTTCTGTTTAAAACCTCTGGAAATCAGAAAAGAACAAACAAATAAAAAAAAGTTACTGAAATATGGTTTATTATTAAGCATACTCAGGCGTTGCGTCTTATGTTGTTACCGAGAGATGGCGTTGGTATTCTTTTACTAAGAAATTACTAGCTGTGCGGCCACACCTTCTGTGCATACTACCTACATTACTAATCCGTTTTTTCATAGTAACTTAAGAATATGTTTTTGATGTAACGGTGATAATTACTATTTGTAAATTACGCATAAAAATAATTTCCCTATGTTAAATTGATCTGAAAGGGTATAATTTATTTTTTTGTAACAATTACATATTTTAATTATTATGAGAAAACACGATGTTAAGGTTATTTCGTATCATACAAAGAATTTAGGCCTAGTTTTAGAGATTTCAGACAATGATAGTACAGTAAGTTCCATGTGAAGTAGCTCACGGTAAATTTAAAACAGTCTTGTTTCAATGAGGATGACAATGATTTCATTAGGTGTAAAATTCAATGCATAGGTGTCTTACTAGCACAGCGGAGGGAAGGCGTGTCTATATTGGTGGATCATCCGATAGTGTGAATTAGGAATTATTATGTTTGTTCGATATTTGCCGCGCTTCGATAAGCATTCTACGCGGGTACATCAGTGAGCCACATCGGGTGTATCCGTATTTAATTTATGTTTTTGAATTTATTTAGAGTATATGTTGCATGCATATACCCTATTCATATTTAATGATATTATTTTATCAATATAAAAAGTAAACAAGTAATATTCTAATTAAATCAAATAGATCTTATAATAATTATAATTTTGTCCTATCGATTCTATATCTTAATTCGTTAGAAATAAAGCTCAACATCGAGTGTTGACATTTTACATTGAATGGATAACCTAATATCTCTGCATAATAACCAGTGGTCGGAATTAGGTAGAGTTATTCATGTACTTACACTGATTTCATACAGCGAAAGAATAAAGTGGATATGCCTCAAAATCCCGAGATTAATTTTAAAGAGCAGAAAAAATCCCGTGATTTATTAAATAAAAATTAATTTACTTTTACACAATTTAAACTACTGCACGCACGACGTTGCCAAACTTACATCAATGACATCGGATGTCCAAAGATGTCCAAGATTGTCCATTAGAAATCCCGGGAAGGTCCACATTAATATCAACATTTCGATGCAAGTACATAAATAACTCTACCTAATTCCGACCTCAGATAATAACTTAATGTAGAATATTTATAAAATAAGTGTACCTACATTAGTGTTATCGCTTTGATTTATTATTTGTTACCAAATTAGTAATAATTCTATCAAAAAATGTGCCTAAAATGTGTTAATGTAATACGTTGCGTACGATAACGTTATTGTTATTAGGTTGTAAACATGTTCATGTAGGTAGTTAGATATTGTAATATAAAGTAGATATTAACAATTACCAATGTGTGATTTTCGTAAATGTTCTATTCGGCTACAGATATTTATTAAATTGTGCAATTTATACACGAATGTTCTCTTCTAAATTAAGATGTACTTACTGCCCAAAAAGGTCCGCTGTTTTTTAAAGCCCGAATGCTAAAAAAGCAAGAAGTAATAGTTTCTTTGTTCATCAGATGGCACCACGAGCGCGCGAGGTTTTGAAATTGAGTTGTTTTTGTTATTATGGCGAGCATCAAAAAAGTTTACAATAAATCTTGATACGTCGGCCGCTGTCCGGTGTTGTGCCGTTCCCGTATTGGGAATAAAAAGGCAATATAAAAAACGCATTAGGGGATTCCTAATGCGCTTTTATCTTCCCTTATTATCTCATACTCAGCGGGGGGTGAGGCGCGTGGAAATTTAACAACTTCAAGAATAATGTAAATATTTTGCAATAAATAAACGTTAATAGTTATGGCAGATGACATTTAAGAGACCTCACTCTACATAAGCGCCTCTAGTGACGAATCCTAGTGCAGTACAGAGGTGAACTGACCATTAGCAACAAAGACTGCATTTCAAACGTATTTAAGCATTTCTCGAATAGGATTTTGAAAATAGTGGCCCTTTTTAGCGCTACCGTATATGAAAAGTAAAATCACATTGTTGTAATGATTCTAGTCATTCTCGCTGTTGTCATGTGATCTTTTGTTATTTATTCATGGAGTCTAAAGTGTTATATGAAGTCTTGTTATTTGCTCTTGTTGTAATTTCGTCCTATAATAAATTATTTCGCAATATTTATTTTTATTTAATTTCCTTATTAACTTTAATGGAAAATATTATTTTCGTCTTACTTTAAAATTATTGTTAATAATGGTTAGCATTTGGAAATACAATTTGATAAGATGGCAAGCCTGATGTGAATAATTCATGAAAAAAAAATAAAGAGCCTGCAAGACATTCCTTCGCTAGTTCATCGGCGGCCATATTGCGACGCGATGTGGTGATGACAAGTTGGTCGAGATCAGGCCCCGCCCACGTCGCAGATGTAGCGCGGGAGATTGGCAGCTCGATCTTTCTCACAATTGTTCTACTATCTGGATCTACGCGGAGAACCTGTTGAATACAAACTACTGGTTGGTTATTTTTTACAGTTACGTGTCTCTTATTTTAATTTAACCTCTATCGTTATCTTCGAATTGTTAAATTAAGAAAATATTACTTGTCTATGATTTACCAAGGCTGTATGGGCTTAGTACCCTTTGCCTTCCTCCTGTGTGAATGGGGAAAATCGAAACAAAAAAGTACAAAAGAAATTCTGAAATATCAAAAACAATCAATGGGGATTTTATTTATCTCTACCGGAGCAAGTAACACAACTTTTAATTTTCGCTCAATGTTTGTTCATCAAATATTTCCCTTACCGATCCATCGAACATTAGCGCTACCCAGAGTAATCCATCTTTGTCTATGGTGATTCCGTCGGGTATCGCAGTGGTATACCCATGCTCTTGCAAATTAATTATGGTCCTTCTTTTACCTGAAAAGTAAAATATCATTATAGAGTTAAGTAAAAAAGGATTAACTTACTATTAAGTTAGAGGTAGTATTTACGTCCAAAATGATCTCCATTTTCTAATTTCTTAACAATAATTTATTACAATAGCTCTAATAGAGTTTCCAAAATTTTCGTTACATATATTAAATAAGATATTGAAGCTTATAATGTTTAAAAATAGCTAGAAATATCTTAATCAACCACTAGAAACATAAGACTTTTATTTCAGACTTATATATACGACATCTTATCGATATTTTGTTTCATTGTACTTTAGTATCGATGAACGATAAATAAATAATGATAATTAAGAATTCGATAGCAGTGTTATCGAAATAGATAGATTGATAGATTATTCTTTATTGTACACAAAAAACAAAATACACTTATATAACGAAAATAGGAGACGTTCTAGCACCTGATCTCCGCGCTGGGTACTGAGTACTGGATAGTACTTCAACATACCAAAAAATCAAACTGTCAAAAACTTTTACACATTTCTGTCATGAGCACTCCCGTCCATTAGATGGTTATTACGACTCTTGCTTTCATAAACGGCGGGTCTTCTGAGACGACCCTAAAATTGCTTGCTAATACTAAGACTTACTTACTAATAATCGCAGACCTAAGGTTCTTACTTATCCCACCGGCGATCAAGTCGAATTCAAACGCGTCTATTCTTTTAGTTTCTGAATCAATGTAGTAGAGTAGAGAATTGTTGACCGACCACACCATTCCATTGGATATTGACACTGGCTTTAGTCGCACCTCGGGCGTGAAGTGCGGCGCCTCCAGAACATATAGAACACCATGGTCTGACTCCACTTTGTCCCCTCGTTGAGCACCTTTGGTACCTTATCATAGATGTAAAATCATACTGTAACTTTAAAGGAATGCTTCAGACTAATAGCACGTATAGTTCAACTGCATGCAGTCGTGGCTGTATCTATAACTCAGTGGGTTAAGGCTTCTTCAAACAGACTGCTTGCGATATTACCAATTGAGTTATGACATGCAGTATGCGCAATTACATGCAGTTATAGTGCGAACGCGACTGCACTGAATGATTACTAATTAAATATTAGCTCAGCGTAAAAAGAAGTGGAAGGATCGTCGACTGGTACTTCGGCAAATGCAATAGTATATATATAGCTAGCAAAACAGCTAGTTTAAGATAAGATTAGAACTTTACTTGTTAAGCACAGACCTGGGACTTAGTTTAGAGAGAGGGAATCTTTCACTTGTTCTATTCTTTAAGTAAATATTAGACATCATCACATTCATTGCTGAAAATATAAATTAAAATTAGCTTTTGGCAATAAACAGACTGAATAGGTCAAAAATCACAGAAGATCAATTGCGCCCATTTTGGGTCGCAGCAGCCCGTTGACTGTTATGACCGAAACTGGTTTTAAGTCTTTATTTTCTTATCTTTAAATCACAAAGCTATTCAAGTCTTGGACATTTTCATCATGATAATCAACATACTTAACAACCCCCTCAATCGCCACATTAAAGGAACAAATAATTGTGCCTTAAAAGTACTAAAAATAGATGTGTTTATTTGAGCAGTTGGATGGAATCCATCCACGTTTTTTTTTTACTTTTTTATGTTTTTTTTTTATTTATTCATAATAAATTGACTTGTTTAAGTTGTTGTCTAATATCACAATAAGCACTTACAAATTAAGTAATAATCAAAACAAAAAAATATCTTAAAAAACTAACGTCGTCTAAACTAAATTCAACATTGTGTATAACACTTCGATAAAAAAAAATCCACTCATTGCCGCGGGATTTCTTTCGCGGATGGAAAATTCGCGCGAGAAAGGCAGTTTCGGTTTCGGTAGGTTTGTCACCGATACCGAAACTAAACCGAAACCGAACATTCGATCGGACACTATTTTACTTTGTAATTGTTAGATAGAGATTCATGACCTTTTTCTTACTTTACGATCAGTTGCACAAACGACCAATGGTTTAATGACGCCTTTAAGCTCTAATGAATGTCAATTGTGTATAGTTAATGTCGCTTTAAAATAATGAAAATTTTAATGGACGTTTGTGCAACTGGCTGTAATGTCTAAGTTATAAACATTGTGTATACCTGCCCATAATCTGCCGCGGGCGTCTACCGCTCCTTGATTGAATATGTTGTCGGGACTCCCCAGGTCTAAAGCAGCGATCAGTCGTAATGCCGAGTCACCCTCTTTGTTCCAATCCAGCAAGAAAACTTCTGATCGGACCCCCACTATGACACGACTGCTGTTTACTATTGGCAACACCACATTGACTTCTCCATATTCTACAATATTTCATAAAAAATTGATTAACACAACACAGATATGAAAGTTGTTAAGTACAAATCTGCTCCTTCTGCCAAGTAAAGGACCAGGAAATTGCTAGTTGCACAAATGAAACATCGAAGTTCTCGAAACCCTATACCTAAGAAATTATCCTTTTATTAGATATTTAAACGAACTCTTTTCTCTAAAAAGGCTATTTTTCACATTTTATAAAAGAAGTAAACTTTAGCATTATAACATAATAGATTTCTTAAGCAATTTAGAATGTTTTTATATGAAACATTAACATTGAGGATGTAGGTACGTATTTTAGATGTGTAGGTAGCTGCTGTAAAATATAGCTGTCTCAGATATATAACATTTTATATATTGCTGCTGTGTGTACGTAAAAAAAAAACGGGGAAAACTTTTTCTATCACTCAGGTTTCCTGCTACTTTTTAAACCTTAATACCTGGAGGGTGGAGACATTTCTCTGACTTGCAGCCATAGTAGGTTCCTAGGTTAATTTTTAAACAGCGGGTGAGCAGAAAATAATGAAAAATAGACTAGTTATGTGTCAATAATACACAATCAAGGTGTGTTTTGTAATAAAGACTTACCTATATGTTTAACTCGATGCTCCCTGGTGCGATAATGTAAAGCATGCACGTCCTGATTGAGTACGTCGACCCAGTACAGAGTGTTTGTGTGCGGGTTCCATACGGGACTCTCGGCGTGCTTAAACTTTTCATAAGTGACTGAAAATTGTTCATGAGCTTCTGATATCGTCTACAAAAATAAACGGTGCGTTATTGCATTTAATAATAAGCAGTTACAAAGCAGTTAGGTACCACAGATTCCTACACTATTATCAACTTGTTAATGTTTACGTGTGTGTGAACAGGTTCCTCATGCAAAAAATTACATAGGGATAATATAACAATTAATACTACGCGCTCTAATGGCTTAGTTACGCACCCATACACTGACGACATCGACTAGTGTAAGGCCTGGTTCAGTGCGACGGGGATGACCTAAGCCGGATGCAGGCCTAGTAAATAGTATTTTTTTTAACCGGGACAGAAACTTCGTATGGCACCCATATGGCGATGTTGAGGAATTGAATATTGATGAATTACTCAAATCCATTTTGATTTATAACGTAATGGCTTAAGCGGGTACATTGACATCATGACAAGCGCGCCAAAAATTGCGGCGTTTAAAGTACCAACTCATAACTGTACATAATTTATTTTCGTTTAGTGCCGAATGTTTTTTTTATAGTTATATAACTATATTATAGTAGTGGGAAAGAAGTACTATTAATCTGAGTACAGATAATTAAGTCTTACTTAAACCAAACGATTTTTTTTTACTAAGTAATTCTAGTATTAGTGTTCACGTGATGAAGTTCATAAATGATTTTAAATAATTCATAAGGCATTAAATAAATTGATACTTACAATGCAGCAAAGCTGAAGTATTAATATTTTTAATTTTATAAACACAATCAAAGGAAATTTAGTCATATCCAGTTAATCGCAGGAGCGGTGGATTTAAATTAACTTCTGTTGCACTAATAACCCGTGATAGCGTGATTGTTACGCTTCTTTTTTAAATTGTTGTGCATAATTATTGTTACATTAAATGTGCTGTGAAAGGTTATAGAAATTACCGATAATGCTAATTGAATAACGTTGAACTACAATATTTACTAAAACGCAACAAAAAAAACCTATAACAATAATAACAGTTTTTGTTTTACCAGCATAGAAAAACATCGGCAATAAGTATGGTTAATAAGAGCAATTAATGTTAATTTCAAATTTGATAATAACTGTCAAGCTAATTGTAAAGGCTTTTAATCCATTTCGATGCAGTGGTAGGTCCCACAACGGGCCATCTGACTTGCGACCATCCATTCGCCGGAGTCAGCACCAAGCAGTTTACTGCTCTCCGTCGATAAGCAGCAGTGCCAGAGCCTTAAGCAGGCATGAGGAGAGTTTGCCAACCCAGGTTGCATCTTACCCATGGCAGCGGGTGTGCTTCTCTTCTGCGGTGATCCTTCCAGTTCGGCTAGTGCGGTTACTGAAGTAATCCGGCAGGGAATGGAATACTTTATTCCTTTCTGCGATATCCCGCTCGAATACAAAGCCCACCCTTGGAATAACGCTGATTGTGCCTGTGCTGATGCCCGTAAGCAGGCAGCATACAAAGCCTGGGTCCAAGCACGCGACCGCCATTTCCTTATTCAAAGGATCCAAGCCAAGAAGAGAGCCTTTAAGTCTGCTGCTCAATCATGTAAGAGGGTCCTCCGAAAGGCACGTTTGTACCATGTTAGTCGTATAGGGGCCAGATATTTTCTTGCCTTAAATATAAATCAAAATTTTAACTTTTTCATGCCCTCAAAATCGCTGACTATCATATTCATGACTGTCGTATTGTTATAAGAACGTCAGCTAGCAAATAATTGTATTCTATGAACGAGTATAAACTGCAAAATTTAAATTTGTTGTATATTCTAAATTGTCTATAACCTTCCCGTTTTGCCCACTAGATTAGGGCAAAATGAAATTTCTCAGGGTTTTACTTTACGAATTTCCACTATTTAATTACATTTCAAGAACAAATAAATAAGACTCTTAAGTTCATTTCTATTTATTTCTACACAAAGTTAGCTCTTCCATCTTGCCTCCTTTCCCTTAGCACATTTAAGCGATGTACATAGCGCTATTCATTCATTCATTCATTTTATTTTAGTACTTTAGTATGTACTTTAATAACAACACACCACAGAACACAGCGTTCTGTGCAACGAACGATTGATAAAGAATAATGATTATGGAATTGACAGCAGTGTTTCCAACATAATAATTTATCCTTCAAAAGATATGCCAAAGTAGTAAAATGAAATGAAATATCGTCATAATACTCGCTATGATGTCGTATAGTAGAGTTAGGCGGTCGAACCCCGGGTCCCACATAACTTGATGATTATGACCTACCTGTTAGTTTTCTTTTTTCTGAAAGAATTTTTTGACTAGTAACTCGTGTGTTCATAAGTTTTGAGATGAAATAAAGGTTGCGTACCTTTTTTAATAATCAACTATGTTCTTAATACAAAACGCTTAAAAATCCACTTGGTCTCTGGCACCCTGAGATGGGATTCGAACCCATGACCTTTCGCAATTCGGGCGAATGCTCTAACCGCTGAGCTAACAGGACTTAACAGGACTGACGAATCTTTCAAGCACTTGTTACTTTTCGCTACTACAGAGCGTATTCTCAACAATGGTCAGGAAATCCACCCAAGCCATATATCATTGAGACTCTTTTTCATTATAGCATTGTGAATGCGAAATTGACAATAGGGATGATAACTAATTTTTGTTTGTTTTAAAAAATGAGAGTGTTAAAAAATATTAAACACGTATTTTTTTTATTTTTTTCGTAATCATAAAATTACGGCGTTACATGGAGTTAAAATTTCGCATGACGTCACGTTATGGTACGTTTTCTACTCAACTGTGACGTAGCGAGCCCCCACTCCTCAAATTTAATGCCTGTTATCTAAGCTATTTCTTGTTAAATTGAAGTAAATAAAATACGTATCTAATATTTTTCTATTATCTGACTGACGGACTAAATAATATTGCATTTATTTTACCCAGTCATCATCCCTATTAACTTATATTCTTAAATTGTCAGTGACCGTAAATAGATAATAATAATCAACAATAAAATATATATTTGATTCAAAATGACAGCCCTTGTTTTTAATACAGGCCCTTAGACGATTTGGCCAGTCATCAATGGCGGTAGGAATAATTCGCTTCGCTTCTGGAACAAAGGTTCGCATCAGTGACTCCAAGTTTGGGTGGGGCTTTCGGTAGGCCTTGAGCTCTAATTCTGTTCATAAAGCATAAACCAGCTGGAAGACGGCCACTGGTACGTCACGATGAAGGCAGACACATTATCCCTCAACCAAGCTTAGATGCTTTTTGCCTTATGGGATGGCGCCGAGTTTTGCTGAAAAACTCAAACCTTATTGTGAAATTACGTATCAGACAGGGGTTTACCACGGGCTCTAACTTTCACTCTGATAATTCTTGGCTTTCACCTTGACACCTTGTTGGCAGAAATGGAGCGGAGTGACACCTTCATACGAAACTCCCCACTATACCATCACACTAGCCGGATGAGGAGTGCGCGTGCGACGGTTCTGTGCAGAAGCTGAGACATCCTTGCTACTTTTAGGGTACACTTCATTGTTTTAGGTGGTTGAACTTTTCTTTGACAGAAAAAAAAATCGGTGAAGAGTATTTTCCTGGCATCATGTCTCCTCTGTAGCAATGGACAACGTTCGCGTTGTAACTTACGAAGACGATCGTTTAAAAAGTGAACTTTTCTACGGCTATAGGCCTTTAGCTTAAGATCATATTGCAGTATATTGTTCACTGAAACGCGAAATATTAGTCTGCAGAGCGAGTTTCTTCTGAGTAGGACATGGATTTCGGCGAAGTCGCTCTCGGATCATTTTGATGTTCGTAGGGGTCCTCACAGAGCGTTCTCTTTGTACCGCTGTATGGTATAATTGACGAAGTTACGGCTTACAGGAAAACTTTTCAGCCTGCGGAGAATCTGCTTCTGTTTTTTTCCCGCTTTAAATAGCGAAATGACAGTGGCACATTTTCGTTCCCTCTATCATGAGAAAATATAAACAAATAAATTTGCGATACAAATAAAGTAAAAGTAAACATTCCAAATTCAAAACCGTAAAAAATAGAAATAACAGTCAGTAACATTTTATTTTTTCAGAATAAAGTTTGTTTTAAAACATAAGAACACACGAGGTATAATTGTAAAGATTTATCAAATGAAACAACTTTACTTAAATTTATGAAGTAGAATTTTACTTCAAATTGTATTTACGTGACAAACAACATATTACATGATTTCATAACATGAATTTTTTAAACATTTAGTAAAATTCTAATGTTACAAAATGTGGAAATATTATACAAATATCATCAATCAACATAAACCATTTTCCGCATGATTTACAAACAACAAATTACATTGTTCTCAATTTTTCACACCATTACTGTTTACTTTAAAAATACAATTGTATTTAGGTAAGTCAGGGCTTTAATATCATTGGCAATGTATGTACAGGTGTGAAAGGAGACATATGTAATAAAATAAAATAGCTTTCTCCCATAGTGTCTGTATAATGTTATCCTTCAAACGGTCAGTTGCACAAACGTCCGTTAATGTTTAATGACGCCTTTAAACTCTAATGAATGTCAAATATGTATCGGTAATGTCACTTTAAACTAATGAAAATTTTAATGGACATTGTGCACCTGGCTAAAAGCCTTCTATGTACAGTGAACAGCACGTCAGTTGCATGCTTCATTAGCAATTTTCCATTATAAACCTAGATTACAATCCTAGCGACGCGTCATTTAACAAGATGCGGGATGTGGAATAGTTTTTCAGTATCGCGCTGCTGGTCTAGTAGAATCATTGAAATTTTATGATAGAATAAGTGCGCCAGGCCTTGAGATGTTACTTACCCTGCCATGTCATACTTTTAGCTCAAGGTGCCATAACAATATCATTATCTTAGACATTGCTTAATTTCATTAGGTGGTTTCTAGTCAATGGTAAAATGAATTTTTACCTTAGGGGATTCCTAAATATTTGGGCCACAGATTTGGACTAGTGACGATAAGTTTAATGAAAACGGGCATAAGAGAGAGATATTCGGGATATCCCATCTATTATCGAAAGGTCATAAACAAGGGAAACCTGAGGAAGTTAGAAAATAAATGAGAATTAAGTACAAGACAACTTTACTAAGGTATTTAAACTTGGAATCTCAATAAAAACATCAAAGATTATATTTACATAAAGATATAAAATATATAAACTATGTATAAAGAGTCTTTTCATCAGCAACACCATCTGTCCGATTGTAATACAACATACTATGTAGCACTATTTTTAATACTTTTGATTTCATTATATTATTAGAAAAACATCTTTTACTATCCATGCACGAGTAACGAGAAACTGATGGGCTATCGGGATTTTCTGACTCTTTTTAGTTAAAAAGGTAGTTAGTTACATTACACATCCACTTTAACCAGCCATGTCTTCCCTATTCTACTATAATAACTCTTTCATTAGTGTACACACAGCCGCACGTCAGGTTACCGCAATATGTCAAAGGAGATTGCCTTTATCCGTACCAAATTGCGTCACAGGTACACTATTACTAAAAAATTATATTTCATTTATATGTATTTGTTTATTAAGTAATTCTATAGACATTATTCATATATGGAGAGCTTCAAAAGATTTAAAATAACACCCTTAAATATCCAAAGCAATGTCCATGACTCAATTTTTTTATATGGCTTAATCTGGAATGAAATTGATTGCTCCGGGTTGCTTAGTCAGTTTAGGTTTAGGCTCAGGATACCACTGAGGTATCCTCGCTCGTCTGTCAAGTTGTTTTCTCTTTCAAGAAGTCGTATTAACTTGGGATTTAACTCACCCGTTTTACTTTTGACACGATTATACAATAGTATTAGTTATGTAACTGACATAAATAGGTTGTCAAATAAATTCAGAGAAATACTGTATAATTATTTTAATAATTAGGAATAAGTACAATGTAGTTGATATACTGTTGCTGTTACTTTATATGTAGATTAAGCTGTTGGATTGCATGCAGTATTTACCTATAATTGTCTTTGCATTTACTAAGTTATTTTATAACATACACTTTTTCTGTATACTGTATAAATGTATAAGATGTTGGTAAATAAATAAATAAATTAAAAAATATTCATTCATTCACTACTTAAGGGAGGCTTAAAACACATTTCTATATAAATAATAAATAGGGTAATAATCACAGTTATGAAATTTGAATATAAACCGCAGTGTTTCTTTATAATTTTTTTCGAATATCTCAAAAATGCGGTTAAATTATGATAAAATTTTGATGGCAGTGAAAAGTTAAATAAAATCTTGACTCGTCGAGGCTAAATTTGGGTTGATGCAATTTGGTGCGAATCTCCATACAAGAAAAGGCATTGTCCTGTCTCAAATTGATTTTAAACTCTACTTCCTAAACATTAAGGTTTAAATTTAAGTGGAGGTTGAAGTCAGTGAGCCATATAAGTTGTATGTATGGGTCGAGGCGAATCTTACAGGCGGCCCGTCAACCGTGAAGTATATGTTAATACACTACAGATCATCCATCGAGTGTGCAAGGTTCATTAAAATTCTTATTACTTTAAAGTGACATTATCGTTACATATTTTAAAAATTTAAAACATTCATTAAAACTTATTTTATATTACCGAAACAACATTTTCAAAAGAACATTGATTATTATATTTTTATTAATTTTGCATGCATAATGCTATACTGATAAATATTTTTAACGGAAAATGCTTACAAATGCTAATGCGAACCTTTCGCTATCTGGGCGACCGCTATAACCACTGAGCTACCCGAGACCCATCCGGGTACCTGGGACTAGTGGATAAGCATTTTTTATTAAAATCATTAATTACTTAAAACATATATTAGAGTTCGAAGTTTTCATTAAACCTTAATGGAAGTTTGTGCAACTGGGTGTGAATGTCCGATATATGTCAGTGCTCACGTTTCGAGATAGACACAACACATCCTCCGTCAAATATGCACCAAGTCTTTGTTAATAGATATCGGCGTTATCAAACTTGAAAACGTACGTCTGCACACCCCTACTGCCCGTATTCCTTATAGTGAACACGGCGCCGGCGAGCGGCTCCGAGTTCTCATCCTGGTGGTCCCGGCCCGTGGTCACGAACAGTTCGTCGAGATTAGGCCCGCCCCAACACACTGACGTCACACGGGACACCGGTATCTTGTAGCCGAATATCACTTGCCTACTATCCGGGTCTATGTGGAGCACCTGATGAGTGTGATAAAGAGAGAGATATATAAAAAATAAGTTCAAAAATTAGAACCCGTCTAATGAACTGGTTTGTTTTGTTATGATCAAGGGCATACGACTACGTTTTAGTTTTTATTCAGGTTTTAGTTTTAGAACTTATTTTTTTATTTAATTAAGATTCGGAATATTTAAGCAAAATCGCAAGCCCTTCCATTCTCAACCCTATACGGAATGATTGAATAATATATTTAGTTTCTTACTCTATGCTCTCTAGAGGGTGCTTTTGCCAATTTAATGTAACGTAACGTCACATAGTAAGCGGACAACTAAGAGGCTTCTAATGATACCTCATTTGTCCAGTAACGATGAGTTGTTTCGAGGTTATAAGGGAACAGATGAACATTCTTACATACATACATACTTACCGACCAAAATCGTAACCCTTCTTTTCGCTTCGCCGCTGTAGTCGGGTAAAAATATGGGATATCAGTTGCAGACTCCGCATAATTTAATATTACCAATAATAAGTTTTTTGCCAGAACACTCACCGTTCCACCGAACATCAAAGCCACCCACAGATGGCCCTTGCTGTCGATTGTCATGCCATCTGGTATCGCATCCTCGTACCCGTAGTTAGATATATCGACAATGGTCCTTCGACCACCTGATGGAGAAACTTTATTCAAATATTGTTTTTGTTATGTTAAATGTAATCTGTTAAGTGCTTCGAGAGATTTGTGTGCCTACCGGGCATTGCATATTGCTGCCTATGTCCCGCCACTTTATGTATAATTGTGTCTAGAATTTGGTATATTATTAGTACAAACTTGTGAAACATGAATTACCTGCCTCCAAGTTACTTTTCCATCTGGTTGCACATTTTTAATGTTAAAGTGGCAGGACTAACGATTTTTTTTTACATACTGCTTTAGCATTCAGAGATACAACTATCGTTTTTAAGGACAAATCGTACATAATATAGCACCAATTTTTTTATTTAGTTTGGTCCCCCCATCGCCAAACGGCAGGGTAGTTCATAAAGCATCAGGCCTACGATACACAAGTGCTGACAAATTGTAACTTAATCATCTATAAAATCTAGTAGCGAAAGTAACAAATGCTTGATAGTCACTCCTGCTAGGTCTCAGGTAGCTCAATTGTTCAGAACAGTCACCCGAATTGCTAAAGGTCATGGGTTAGAACCCCAGAAGACTGTTTCTCCGAAAACATAATTTAATCTATTTTCGAAACGCTAATATAGCTCCAAAGAAAGCTACTTTTCGATAATTAATGATTATTTATGAGGCAAAGTAGGACTTGAAACTGTGTCTGATGCACAAATATGATATTAACAAATTTATTCGAAATTTACGAGTTCGTGGAAAAACAGAGTAAGGTCTCAGGGACTGGAATATTTTTTTCTCTAAGATAAATATGCATACAGCATTTTGAATGCAACTGTTAATATATAAAAAAATACATACTCAGATCTCCTTTAACCGCGTCGTAGTCGAACGCCTCCACCTTTTGTGTGGGCGAATCTATGTAGTACAGTATAGTGTTGTTGAGGGACCAGACAAGCCCGTTGGAGATCGAAATTGGGCGAACCTGGATGCGAGGATATTCTAACGAATCCTGTTCTATACTGTAAAAGGTGGCTTTATCAGGAAGAACGTCGTCACCAGTTTGTGGACCTTTAGTTCCTGGAAAATATGAAGATGTTATAAATGATGTTCATTGACTGACAAAAAAATTCTTGAAAATTATGATGACATACAGTTTGTAGCAACCATAATAGGGATGGGACAAATTTGTTTGTTAGTCCTTCGGGTATATTATAATTTACCTGACAGACATTATTAAAGAATATTAAACAAGCAATTAATAACAGCGATACATTGAGTTGAAATGTCGCATGACGTCACACCTTTGTACATTTTCTACATATTTGTGACGTAGCAAACCTCCACTCCTCAACTTTAATGCATTCGCACTCACCTGCCCAGAATCGACCCTCACTATCCGGTTTGCCCTCATTGATTACGTTGTCCGGTAACCCTAAGTCTACAGTTGTCAGAAGTCGTAGCGACTCGTCACCAGTCACATCCCAATCCATCAGGTACAGGGAGGACCTGACGGCCACCAGCAGTCGCTTCGACCCGGCCACCAGAGAAACCACATTCACTTGCCCGTAACCTTGATAAGGAATTATAGCTTTAAGTATTATTCAACAGTAAAATTCAACCATTGTGGTGCATGGTAACTCAGACCATGCCCACTCTTATTCTACGAAAACGAAATTTTGAGAGGACCTGACACTGCCTCTGATGCACAGATATTCTTCGCATATATAGTTTTAACAAAATTATAAGAACGTTTCTAAATTTTCCAAAATTTTCTCCAAAGACAAACAGAGTAGGCACCCGAACCTACTAATTATGACGATGACCGAACGTACAATTAAAGTTTATATTGAATCTTGTTTCAATAATTATAACAGCAGTGATCAGGCAATTGGATATTGGTGGATCGCCCGATGGCGTAATACTTGCATCATTCGGATTAGCTGACATTGGCCGTGCTTTGAAATTTAGCCTTCTGCAGATACATCAGTGATTGACACTAATTGTATCTTACGGTAGCGACTCTCAAACACTGGTCCGCGAAACCCTAGAGTAAGTAGAAGGGTTACAGAGGCTCCATGTTGATATATTTTTGAGACCGCGAGTTAAATAAAAAATGTAAAAAAGACTTCGTAATATTTACAATATAATTTTTTATTTATAATTTCTATCTTCATTTTAAAACGCACATGAAAAATGATCAAACTTCCTTAGGTTATTAAAATAGAGTTTCGCCAAAAAAAATAAAGTCTCCGAGGCCAAAAAAGAATTGTGAACCTCGGTCTTGCTGTACTCAGTTACTGACTGACCGATATGTTTGGTGTCTATCTTGCCAGTAGAGTAGTGCAGCCGGTGAACGTTCTGTTGGTGGACATCGACGAACAGCAAGGTTTGAGTGTGCGCATCCCACACAGGACTCTCGCCGTGAGAAAACAACACTGGACGCGTTGGATTATTCTCTGATGACACCTATTGGATATTTCTTTAGGACATCACTTTCAACTTATAATATTGCCTGCTGCTGCTGCGCAACAGAACTTGCAAAATATAGAAATCTCATTGCAGATTGGTCTACACATGCAGCCAGGACTGACAGTTAGAAATAGAAAGGATTTTTTTGATTACCTATTAATTGACCAGACTTGGCGTTGACTAACCATTGCAACATCAAGAACACTCAATGGTTATGTCGTTATTATACAAACAGAAATGTACTTTATTCATATTTCTTTATCAAAATACTGATCATCATTTCCTTGCATTATCACAAATGCATCTTTTCATTAGTTTCAGGTATATTTACTTGTATTTTCAGAAGTTAAATGATGTAATGATAACACCTACATGTTAAGTCTGTTATTAGATTTTTTTAGTGTTATTATCTGAGATGGGTGACCAAAATATATATCAAAATAGATTTCACAAAACATTTGTAAAAGCAGTGAACATTAAAAAAAAATAATTCAATACAGACTTGAATACATACCATCGATATTTTGTAAAACTGGTGAGATTTATCATTGGCCAGTGTCCCACCGACAAAGATGACAGTGAAATATAAAAGAAAGTTAAACATTTTGATAAAAACAATAAAATTATGATAATTACACAAGCGAATACATAGCCTATGAACATTCAATCTAATCTGTAGATGCAATGTTGCTTCAGGCAAAATGTTTTTTCGACAAGACCAATAAGACTTTTTAATCGTGCCAATTGTAACTATTTGCAGAAATTAACAAAGGAAAAATAGTTTGTCGTGTATCGTTAAAACTGATATAACAAAAGAGAAAAAACGACAACCGAATGCATTCAATTCATCGTTGCATTGATAACTTTTTTTTATTTATATAGAAATAAGTTTGTTGTAACAGACGTTGGTGACCAACACCTGTCAAAATATGGCCAAATATAAGCAAATATGACAAATTATAGTTAAATATCATATACAAATGCTACAATGGAAGCAGACGTTCTTTACTTTGCTATTAAAATAATTTGTTAATTACCGAAGCAAGTAACGTCTGCTAATATATTATATAACTTAAGAGGGCGCGTAATTAACTTCCAACTGGTTTTGTGGAAATGATGTCCGAATAAGCTGTAATAAAAAGTAAAAAGATTGCGATACTAAAGGTTTTGCGATAGCCAAAAAATTAATCAATAAAAAAAACATGAAAAATATCCTTTACCAATAAAATACACTGCTTTTTCTACAATGAAATGCAGCATGTTTTTAATAATCGTAATACATACACATTACATTTTTAATAATCGATTCTCGATGCTCTGTCTCCGTGTATATCATTGCCTATCGCCGGGACATAGGCAGGGGTAGTTTGTTAACTTTACGCCCTCTCTTAAGAGCCACCTTTATATTTTCCACAAAAAATGTTACAAACTATATGCATAGTTATATATTGAGGCATCTATAATTCAAATTATAGAGCTTACAAATTCTATGGGCGAGTTTATATCGATTTTATTAACTGATTTGTTGAATACGATAGCTCTGGCATTTGTAAGTAACATTTAGTTACACTTGCATTTGGGAGGAGAGGGGGGGGGGAAGAATACGGGATCATTTTGGGATCCTATAAATGGCACCTTATTTCAATCAGGCAACCAGTGACGTTCTCAGGAACGCCTACCTATGGTCTGGCTTAAAATATGGTGGTCGGCGGGCCCCGGTGGAGGGCGACCACATTGCGTGGTCGCCCTCCACCGGGGCCTCTAGGCAGCTCTCGTGATAGTCCTCCGTTGAGTCATATTTGTTTATTGATTTCCTTGTAAAGATTTCAATGTCAATCATATGAAACTAGAGTGTTACTTTGTAGGAACAACTTTTGCCCATTGCGTAAATATAGAATATGCCAAGACGCGTACAAAAGTTTAATCCTTTGAATTCAAAAAGTTTAAGACAAATCTAAATGATTGCAGTATTTCTAAAACACTAAGTAAAAATTAACTATACAACCGCTTTTTTGTCTCTACACCTTTGCATTAATTATCACAAATGTAAGATAACCGATGCTCGCATAACTATGTAGTATATAAGTGGCAGATATTTTCTATTTATTGCCTTATCGATATGTCTAAATCGGTATAAAATCGTATCGGTAATAATCTGGCATCGGTAATAAAAACACATTTGTTTTCTTTGATAATAGTATAACTAATAAAGAGTAGTTCCATTTGAATATGACATATTCAAATGGAACTACTCTTTGCTTCCTAAATATATTATAGAAAAACAATAGTCACAGTTAATTTCTGTCGTGATGACGTCACATCATTCAGTTAGCTTATTATTATTAAAAAGTGTAAATTTTTTTAAAACACGCAACTATGCCATTAGTCAATATATTAAACAAATTGCGACCCTGAATAGATCCTTGTGGCACACCCGAAGATAGAGTTACCTTAGGCTTTAAACCATTTACGACGATATGAATGTAACGATTTGTAAATACACATTTGAGTGAAAACTGTCAACTTATTTTCATTTCTGTGAATATTTTTATTAAAATAGAATTAGGGATTTTATATGAATGTATCATATGTATCTATAATTAAAACAAGTTTTATTTTCATATACATACGTCTATTTATTCCATAACTTATCATTACTGCTTAATATAAGATATGAACTTAAATACTAATTAATACTAAAACTTACCTGTCACGTCTTATTTGTAATTAAATATAATCAATAAGTTGTATTATAGACAATCGATTAATTCTTCATAAACATAAATGCAGATCACTTTATGTGTTAAAATTCAACTAAATTCGCAATCGGGTAGAAAAATTGAAAAACCATATTTTAAAATATATTTGACCACAGCTATATACCACATTAGATTAAACCAATATTTCAAAATTATACTATGCAACTGTATACATTGGGAACATCTTATTTCCACTGTGACTCATAAAAAATGTACAGTTAGCTTTGACTTCTAGGTCACTTTATCATAGTTAAATATTTGGTAATAAAAGTTATCGAGACATATGCAAATTTAATGAAATTTTTATTCCCAAATATATGATATTGTAAAGACAATATGATATTATGAAGGGAACGATTTCTTTATTTCGTGCTCTCAATAGTAATAGTCTGTCAAAGTGTTTCTTCTAGTAACCTAAGAAACATATTCGCTGACTGTACATCGTACACAATAGCTTCCAACAAAGAACGTAAACAAATCTAAGTACTATACTGATAAAAATCGCCTAAAATGTTAGTTGAGATTACAATTAGTCGAAAACACAACAGTCTCTTAGGGCAATCTATATCTAAAAATGTTACTAATAAAGTTTATTTTGCTATAAAGGAGCAATTATTCCAGTCACGAAGAACGATTTGCCATTTCTACTATCAAGGAATGTTTTAATTACTAATAAAAATAGCCTGTAGATCTCGATTTAAATCAATGTTTTTAAACAAATGGTGATTGTATACCACAGATTAAAAATAAGGCATTTTATACATAAATTTATACACAAATAGTTTGAAAATGTTATGTTTTTTACCAGATCTAAAATATGCTCCCACGGAACGACAAAGTTATTGAAAAAATATTAAACCTTTTTTAACATGAAATATATTTTTAATTACGGTTTTATTTGTATTATGTTGCATTTGGTTTTTCCAATACTAAATTGGGAAATAAAAAAAAAACAAGATAATTCTAATGTGTAGCTTATGATTTTTTTTTTGTGTATAAAGACAGTTTTATCTGAAGTTAAGAGTGTAATATTTAACTTTTGTAATATTGTATCTAAGCGTGGTGCTGTGGTTGCGCGGGCGGTTCAGGAGGCGGTTGTTCCGGCGCCGGAGCAGTTGTTCCACTACCGCTCTCAGCCTGAAGCCTAATATGACATAAACAATATTAGCATACTGTTGATTTAAGCCTCCATGATCACTATAATGGCTAGATTACACGTTTCATGACAAAGATTTATTCTAGTGTTTTTTTTCCTGTGATAGGTACCTGAGTGGTTGTGAAAATGCTATAAATAGTTTGTTAATTCTGTTCAGGGGCCGATTGACTAATCTTTAAATCTTTCGCAATCCCTTTTAATTTGACATTTGAAAGATATTCTCGAACTTCATGCTACAACTATATGACATTTGATAGCACTTGCGATCGCTATGTTTTTTAAACATATTGAATGAGCGAAATAATTTGAAGCACAGTTACAATGCTTATATACAATATCGATCATACCTAGAAAAAGCATGCAGTAGCGATACTAGTATTACACGTATCTATGTCAAAATGAAATAAATATACTAATTTAGTAATGAGAGATGGGTTTCAAAAAGACATCAACGCGTGCTGCATTTTTATAGTTACCTTTCATTATCCACTATAACTTGAATTTCGCAATATAAAATTACAAATAAAATTTCTCTTACTGGTGAAAAGTTATACTATCTTTCTTGCAATTAGATGTTCTGGAATTTTTTCCACACTATTCGACACTACCACTTGCCATGGTTAACCTAATAACTACTTCAGTATAAAGAAAAATCTTTTCGTCAAAGTATATATTTACAGATCGAACACTTGAGCGTAACAGAGGATATGTATATATCTACTTTTGTTAAAACAATCTATGCAGAATCATATACGCTTGGCTACAGCTTGCTGTCTTTCATGACTCATCTATTGGAGGTTATCTGTGATTTGGAATTAATTATAATTATCTTAGGCAAGCGTTAAACGCAAATCTTTGAAAACAATTAAGAAATTTGAAACGAATGGTAACTGCAATCATTAGACGGATTTGGCTAAGTTTTTATATCATTCAAATCATCATTCGTTCCAAAAGCGATTGCTACTTTAAAACAATTAGCACACTGGTTGTATTAAACGCAACGCAGTCTGTTGTTTATTCCTCGTCGTTGTGTACATATGTTTGGGTATTCGTTATATTTAGAACTGTCATTGACTGTCGTTATATTAATGGTATTTACTTTTCTTTAAGTACAAGAAATTATTTGGAGTAATAATCGTTAGTATTAATGCAATATTATGGGTTGATATTATAATGGGTATGTTCCGATATACACTGCGAGCACTGCGCAGTGGTCTTACTGCTGAAAAATCCGTTCCGTTATGGACTGCCAGTACACTGCTACAGTACCGTAGGGAAATTTCAACGTCATGAATTGCCGCCATATTTGTACTATGAGCACTGGAGATTTCGAGGTAAGGTGCTCGCAGTGCTTTTGACCACGTGATCAAACGAAACAGATAAAATAAAATACTTACGTTTATTATAAGATGGATTTAATTGATAAATATTTTTTTATACAATTTTCCAATTTTATAATATTTTCTTTTGAAAAGAGAGAATCTTTATATTTATATTCACCTTGCATTAACAAATTTGAAAATGGCGCCAAAAATAGGATTAACAGTATACTGGACTGCGTTCCGTTTTAAAAAGTCACCAGTATAACTAGCTATAAAGGAACGGGCTTCCAGTATACTAAATTGACGTCATACTGTTCAGTGGTCGCAGTGTATATCGGAACATACCCTATATTAACGGTATTTACTTTTCTTTAAGTACAAGAAATTATTTGGAGTAATAATCGTTAGTATTAATGCAATATTATGGGGTGATATTATTATATTATCTTAGTTATGAAGTTTTCAAGATGGTAAAAGTCGTTTGTGCGTGCAACTACATTTGTGACAGTAACGCTTCAGTATAGTCGTTATAGAAAATGTCTGAGAAAAAATTATGACATGGAATCGGATTTCACAATTAAACTTATTGTAAGTTGAAAGCAGCGAATTTGAAAATTCAGTTTGATTTTGTTGAACTTACTATACTCGTTGTAGTACAAGATATATGGTTATTACTAGTTGACTTTCCTTTTCAATATCAACCGTTGCACGTTGACAACAATGGATTGAGTATCTATCGGTTATTTATTAACAAAAACTTGGTGACGTCATCACGTATCATGCACCAAAGTAGAAGACAGATTGTTCAACACAGAATTGGTTACTACATCATGCATTACAGAATTGTACTTACATAACATACACTACAAATTGTTATTATAAATAGAATTTATTACTAAAAAACTTTATACTAAAAACTAAAATATAGAAAGCATGTTAGTAAATGCGTTGATAGTTTACAGCAGTGATTCCCTAAGTGGTCCAGGTGGACCCCCAGGGGTCCACGAAGGATTCAACGGGGGTCTACGTTGGCGTGAAGTAAAATTAAGAGGTTCACAAGTTGTAAGTGGAGTCCACGAAAATTTATTATTAATCTAATATTAAAATTATCTGATTTCGATAGTAAAGAACATAAATGTTGGCTTGGCTTTACCTACATATCAATGTGCAGGTAGGCTATAATATTCTAAGGTCAGCGTGTGTTACTTGTAAAAACCTGCTTTTTCAATATTCAGTACAACATTTTGGACGAATTTTGGAAATATGGTAAAAATGTAGCAGCGGGGCGTCCACCGAAACCAGTAAATCTTTTAAAATGGTCTACGAGAAAAAATTGTTTGGGAACCTCTGGTGTACAGTAATAAGTGTATATATTTGTAAATAGCATCGTCCAAACGTTCAAAATCCGTTTGCGCAGAAAAAAGCAAGTTAAAGTCAATGGAATATAAGCACCATCCTTAAAACATAAGACTTATTCTTTGAGTTAACGTTTAATTCGTAATACAAAAATGTCTATATGGTAACATAGCGCGATCGCATCAACTAGTAACAAACGAGGATGATATTAATGTACTGTGTCTTTATGTTCTGAATGTATGAATAACAATTCTTCGCGCCTTTAAAAATGAATATATGCACAGCAGTTAAGTTCATCAGCGTTATGTATATGTCGCAGTCAAATCGAATAACACGTCGCGTCTAATTACAAAACGCCGCCGTTTTGTTATGTGGCTACTATACATCAAGTCGATGGTTACGTGTACAAAGAGCCGTCCAACCTTTAGCTTTATTTTTAGCGAGGATCAAAGTATATATGGCAGCATTTTGTAATCGGACGTACCGTCTTATAATTGGACTTGTAACCGGACGTAAGATACATGCATGTTCCACTTGTGGAGTGTTATATATAAGATACATCCATGTTTTTATTGTTCTTGGATTAATTTAACGCGAAGCCTATATATTTTAATTGAAATTGCACAAATTATACACGCACACAACAAACACAGACGAAAATATCAAGAACGTTATTATAACATGCCTTATAAAGCCTAATAATAAAACGCATACGCATATCTATCAGCAATGGAGTTACAGTTTTGAAAAATAAATTATAAAAATCCACAAAAGAAATAAATTGAAACAAATTCTTATTTTAAGTCATAAATTAACATTACTATCTTATTAAATAAATTTTAAAATACGTGTTTTCTAATATTCTAATGAAACAAGACCCGCCATGGTGTGACGTCATGTTGGTAATAATTTTACATTGGTGACGGATACTGTTACAGATATGAAATTATTTCAGTTTAACCTTTTGTTACGTTAATAAAATTAGATTTTTATGTAATTTAAAAATACAAATTTGTAGTAATGTTATTTAATTTCATATGAAATAAACAATAGATACGTTAATGTTCCATAATAAGTCATTAGTTCATTAAATTAAACAATCCGAAAATTTTACATCAGATTTCGGATAACCGATAGTTTCGGATACGGTTACGGATAAGATATGCGTACGCGCCGTTACCGAATTCCCCCACCGTGTGTGTAGTGCGGTGCGCAGATACTAGTAGATAGAGTAGGAAGAAATGATAGTAATAATAATATTTACTTTAAAGCTGTGTACCTCTGGTGGGCCTGGTGGCGGGCGCGGAACTCGGCCGCCTTCAGCTGCTCCAGGTGGAACTGTTGCCGCTCCTGGATCAGCTGCTGACGCTGGTACTCCAGACCTTAACGGTACATTTACACGGAACTGTATACAATGGGAACTTGCAACGGATATTATGCTGTTATTATCCTATTTGGCTGATTTATTCCGAAAATCCGCATTATAGATGTGTGAATTAGAAAAAAAACTATTTAGTCCGACCGTCTGTAATTAGTCCCGTCAGTCAGATAATAGAAAATATTAGACATGCATTTTTTTCTTCATCAAGAAATAGCTTAGATAACAGGCAAAAAGGTGAGAATTGGGGTGACAACAAAAAGGGCTGGAAGTAGTACTTACCCTCGCGTTCCCTCTCCATAGTGGCTTCTAGTTCCTCGAAGTGCCTAAGTTTGATCTCCAATTTCTTCATCTGTGTCTCCACCAGTAACGCGACTAGTGATTTGATCTTGCGTTCTTCAACGCCCGCTAAATGTTTAGCTTTAACAGCGGCGGCGGCTAGCGCTGCCGCTGCGGCAGATTGGAGCTTTGCATCCACTGTTGTTGGCGCGTCTATTTACAAAAAAAAACAACAGATTAGTTTATCATGTGACATCACCTCAGTTTTCATCAAAGGAAAATATTCAAAACCAAATTTTTAAACAAAACCTAACAACTAACAATAGCTACTTTATGTGTACTGTGAACAGTATGATAAATTATGTATTTAAAATGTATTTTTAATGGAGTTAAATTGAATATATAAATACATTAATTACATAAATATAAAATAAAAAAAATAAAAATGTTCTTTATTAACATTATTTCCATCATTTATAATCTTTTACAATCTTGAAATTATCCCAGTAAGTAATATAAAATACTTGTATTGGGACCATTTCGCTCCAGCTTTGTATATATTAGTATACTTTGGCCACCGAGAGAATGCGTTTCTGTTGTCTTTTAAATACTCATGAATAGTGAAAGACAAATGTAAACATTGATATTATTTATTATATTTTATCAATTTTGCACTCACAATACTATACTGGAAAATATTCTTAATGATGTTTAAAAAATCTACCAGCCTCAGGTACTCCAATATAGGACACGAACCTATCAAATATAACACTTGCCTGTTACGAAAAAGTATAGAAATAGAAAATATGCAAATGTATAATTTAGAAATAAATTTAAAAATCAACTAGGTTTTAGAAAAAGAAACTGATATATTCGGTGACAATTCAGCAAGTTAAATCAGATTTCATTCATCCATTCAGAATTGACATAAGGCGCTGTCTATTGTCAAATTACTGTTATTAGCAAGAAAAAAAGAAATATTTGACCATGACTCTCATGTTCTACTGAGAATATAGGTCAAATATGAACAACATTCATCCATCCTATTATAGAAGCTTTATTCGGGCATGTATTTATTTTACCTGGTTGTGGTGATCCGGGTTCTTTAGTGTCTTTGTCTTCTGTGGCAGGTGCCTCCGAAGCCTCTTCTTTAACTTTCGCTTCGCCCTCTTCTACCTCCATTGGTTCAGATTTTACGTCATCTTTCTTATCACCTTATATGAAAAAACACTATCTTATTAGGATATAGTTTGTTTACCCAATATTTTAATATGCTTACATACATCATATACGATCACAGATGAGTTATCAGAAATATCTATTAGATATACATTATGACGGTATATAATTTTCAGGAGAAGAGTTTTAAACTCTGACACCTCATAAAACAATGACTTTAGAAGATACAGATGAGATGAATCATACGGAACTATGTCCGATGTACAAAAGTAACATTATCGCACCAAGTAAAGGGGGCTTTAGGACAATTATTACATATTTAACTAATTTTTGTATTTTTTGCAAAAGTGACAGTGTCGCACCGGGGGTGCGATATATGAGATACAGTAGATGAAAATAATTATATACTATTTTTTCTGGTAGTGCTTAATATACTATTACCGATAATAACACTTTTGTGCTTATTATATTTATAATATTGCTTATGAAAAAGCAACGGCGGTGGCGTCATGATCGAGCTTGGTGGCAGGCTCTATACCAGGGGTGGGCAAATATTTTGATAGTCGGGAAATATTGCAGCTGAAAATTTGATCTCGGGCCAAACAGTTTCTTTCATACGGTAAGCAAGTCGATCAAACGTTACTTGGAATTGCAACAATAAATTACAACGGACAAAAAGGCGCTGTTTTTTATAACTTTTGAGAAAATTAGTTCAGACTCTTCTAATTGAAAAATATGTTAAGCAAATACATCAGCTTCATTCTTTCTTTAGTGTTTAACGATGCATGCAACCTCAGTAGATCTATATCTGCGTTTAATTTTCGGCGTATTTATTGCGGAAAGATTTTTCTCCAAATTAAAATGAATATAAAATTACTTGCATTCTACTATATCGCAGGATAAAATGGCGGCTTTAGATTTAAATTATTTTGTTTATTCATGCAATAATGTGATATAATAAGTGTAATAACTAAAAAAATTGTGCGTCTATTATGCTGTAACTGTTCAATTATCATAATTATATTTTCGAATAGGAAGCGCTGAAAAGAGCGGTTGTCCGGGAGAAAAGTTATCTAAAAATATTTATGCACTATTTATGTTAGACAAAAACTAATATTTGTGTTTTTAATAATCTATATATATATAACTCAAACGTGACCGACTGACATAGTGATCTATCAAAGCACAGCTCAAACCACTGGACGGATCGGGCTGAGACTTTGCATGCATAAAGCTACTATGACTTAGGCATCCCCTAAGAACTTATTTTGATCATTTGTAAGGGGATAAAATTGGGGATGAAAGTTTGTATGAAACTGTCAATTTTAAACACTATATAACGAATAAATATTCGATAGAAATGCTTCTCAAAGTAACTTTACTACGCAGACGAAGTCGCGGGCAAAACTAGTAATATATACAATGCTTCAGGGGCCAGACAAAATTCACAGAAAAAAATTGACACCCGAATCCGGCCCGCGGACCGCCATTTGCCCAGGCCTGCTCTATACGTACCAGTGGTGGTGGTGGGGGTAACGGTGGTAGCGGCCGTGTCATGCTCGGGCGCGGTGCCGGCGATGCCGGTGGCGGCGAGTGCGGCGCCGGCGCCCGCAGGTCCCGCAGCCCCCGCTGCCTTCACGTGAGCCTCCATCATGGCGGCCGGCACTTCGTCCTTCACAACAAATAATAAAAACAAAAACATTTCTTAATGAGAAATGCTTAAAAATCCACTTTGACCCCGAGTTACTCTGAGAAGTGCTTGAAAGATTCGTCAGTCGTGTAGGGTTCTGGGTAGCTCAGTGGTTGGAGTAGTTGTCCGGATGCCTGGACGAAAAGTCGTGAGTTCGAATCTCATGTCAGTGTACCCCGAGTTAAAGTGGATTTTTAAGCATTATTCAATAAAGGTATTTTCCAATATAACATTGCGAATGCAAATTGATCAAATATAAAAAAAGAACATTTATTTATTACTACAATTAATAGAGAAGCATACAAACGTACATAAAGTATTTTGACTATAATCTATGATTATAAAGATCTTATACACAGCATGTACATAATTATTTTTTAACACCTTTGCTCGTAAAGCTGATGTAATTAATTCCACCGGATTTAAATATGTAAAGCGGGTCATAAAAACGCGTGTGTCAACAAAGCAAATAGTAAAGTTATAGTCCATACAAATTCCATAACAGTATTATTTGCCATTTCGCGCGCTGTTGCTATTCAAATTTCGAACTAATCGCCGCGCGGCGCCAGTCAGTAGGCAGCGCTAGCGCGCTGTTAAAATGGCGGGAAAGCAACAGTGTACATTCACAGATTGAGTTTATTTCATGTTTTTTTTTCTGTTTCCTCGCAAATGTGTTAAAAAACGTCGTACGATATACGTGCGTATTGGTTATAACATGCTCGGCTCAATTACGCCCTCGCCTTCGGCTCGGGCTGAATTCCCGCCTCGCATGTTATAACCATCATAACGCACTAAAATCGTAATGTACTATTACAAGATGAACCGACCCTAAAATATTAATTGCTATGTTTAAATATTGAGTGATGTTGAGGCTGTATGAATATAATATTTCTTCATATGCTGCTAGCAAATGGTATATTTTAACTGACCAAACGTTCGGTTTTGGGTCGGACACTTTGCTCAATAAATATGGTTTCGGCCTTATTTATTTATTATTATTGTACTATTTATACCGCACATTAAGCATATTACAATTATTTATCGGCCTAAATCGAAAGCAAGGTGAAAATTCGGATTCTATTTCGGCACAAAAAACCTATTTCGGTCAGTCACTAATTTTAATTCAATAATTAATTTAAGGTACGTTTTGAAATACTGTCAACACCGGGATTAATAAACACAAATCTACGCAAATGCATAGTTTTTTGTCAATACATAAATAAATATCACTCAGTATGTATGATGCTTTCACAAGTACAAACAAACAACGCATGGCCGAATTCAACTAGTAAAATATAAATGGAAAAATGTAACTTACCTTGATGGCCGCAAATTCATCCATAGCAGCTCTTGTAGCTTTGGAAGCGATACGAGGGTCCACGACGGAGGCCAAAAAGGCCACGGTACTCATCACAGGGTTCCCAGTCTTACTGAATGGTATGGGCTGATATGCTAATGGTCCTAACACGCCACCTGACAAAAAAAATAGAATAAATAAATTAAACCACATCACATGCATTGCTCAGAATGCCTACTCTATTTCTCCGAAAAAAATATCTATTTTCGGAGCGCTGAATTATGACGCCAAAGAAACCTTATTTATTTGTCGACATTATTTTCATATCGAAAAATAGGTTTGTTAACGATAGCTCTAGATAAAGGATTTATGATAAAAAACTGGAATTTAGGGAACCAAAATAAGAAAATCAGGATAGGGCTAAGTGACAACTACAATTTTTTTGGCATGTAAAACAAAAATAGGTACAAAATCAATAAAAAAGTAAAAAAAGACTTCAAAAACAGGATGGTTGGCTGGTTCAAGGTTGGTAACAAGGTTTCTAAAATAGGTTTTATTACTATAAAAATAGGCATCTTACGCACAGATAATTCTCACTGACATGGTTCTAACAAAATTATAAAAACGATTTGAAATTTCCCAAATTTTCGTCGTTTTTACCGTCGTTTAGATTTTACCATTTTTTTTAACTTCTTGCAATGGGAAAATATTCAACCCCGATGGGGAAGAGCAAATCGTCTTCAAAGATTTTTATTGATTCCCGTCCGAATAGGTTTTTAAGTAAGGGGATCAATGAACTACCTATGAGAAGGCAAAAGTGCATAGATAACAATGGTTTATACTTTGATTAAATAAATATATAATATTAAAAAATATTCGACTTTTTGTTCCTCCCATACCAAACACCAATTTCATATATAAGGACCTAATGCTCGTAGCTGATTATTTTAATTTTAATTGATAAAAGGCCATAAATCAAATATTTCGGCAATTTAAATACGTATAATTGCCTTAAAATTAAAAAAAAAAATATATACGCGCGAATACGCTGTCCGCCATATTCATGACGTCATTGTGATATGTACACAAAACCTTAACTCTATGCATAAAACAGATAGAGTAGAAGAATAAAAGATGTCATTAAAATAAGAACAATGCCATCTAACGATCGATTTCGAAATAAAAAAATATAAATGAGCTAAGAACGGAGCCATCTATGAATTAGACTTCATTAGTAGGCATATCTTTATGATTGATATGACAGCTGTCGCCACAGTGGCGTCACACAATAGCGAGTCGTGTTTCAAATCACGCGACAGACTTACAAAAAAAAAACACCCCTTTTGATATTTGTGCAACTAGGCAATAGAGGGATAATGGATTTTCTGATAATCGGGACTCTACTAAGATCTAATAATCACCTGACGCGGGATCGTTTAGGTAAGGATCCTCGATGGGCAGTCTCAGGAAGTGTAGGATACATTCGTCCTGGGTACGAGTACCCACATGTGCCGCTACACGGTTCCAATCATCACGATGCATTTCCAGAGCTTCCAGCAGCAGAAGAGTCTCTTGTTCTGTCCATTCGCGACCGCGAGGACCGCCCCGATACTAATAAGTTAAATGACAAGTTCATATTAGTACATATGTAAGCTGGTAAATGTCTCAATAAATAAATGGAACATGTCTTGTCGGACATGTTCCATTTATTTATATAATATTAATAAAGGAAGTTACTATGTAATTAACGGGACTCGATAAAAATATTGTAGATTCAGTATGTCCCAACTAATATGACGCACCGTGAATATTCGTTTGCGTAGAGCAATGCATATTCAACGAATTACCGTGCTATTAAAGTGTATAGTGCGTCTTGTTTCAATAATCATGAGGTGTAAAATACAACGCATTACGTGTCTGTGTAGATTTTAGTGAAATGTCCGAATGGCGTGATACTTGAATCGTTCTGATTGGCTGTCGTAAGCCGCGCTTCGGAACTTCAGTTTTATCTTAGGCTCTTTGAGGGACGAATTTACATGTCACCTGTTCAATTTCTCCACTTAATTTTAAATCTTAATTTGTTTAAGTAGAGTTAAGGAAATTTGTAAGACATAAGGCTTATGTCTTACAAGGCTTATGTGTTTTCGCCACACATGTTTCTCAAGTAAATGAATAGAGTAGTTCTCAACTTTTTTTATTTTATAAATAAATAGTCCAATAATATCTGTGAAATACAAATATTGTAGAAATAATAGCATGTCTGCGATTAATAGTTTCAGAGAAAGTATAGTTTTGTGGAACTGCTGCTAGTCGGCCGAAAACCCTCCCTACAAATTCAAGCCACGAACTGACGTCACATAGTGCTACAGTAGCAAAAAACGTATGGACGTCTAGGCAATCTTTGTTATTTGTGTGTTTATGTTTATAGCTGTTTTAATAAAAGTTGTCACATTTTATGTAACTAATTTAATGCCATATGTATTTTACCGTTTTTGTTATATATTTTCCTTACTTTTGTCTTGATTCCATAGCGTAATATTTTCCAAATTGGTGTCATAAAAATTAATTTTGTTAAATATTAATAAGTTGAAATTAGAAATGCGCCGAAAGTTTTAACGAGCCGGATATTCGGTTAAATTATCGGTTAAGCATTTCACTGATTTGCCGCGTAAATAGGTTTAAAAACAAATGTTAATTTAAAGTTCAATTGCTTTATATTATTAGCTTTATTGAACACACTCTTCATAGGATTTCTTTTCGAATGATTCGGCCAATTACAAATAGTTTAAACGATGCCGAGTACCGAATACCAAACGAATATTCGGCGCATCTATAAATAACACAAACATATATTAAACCTGTACACTTGTAGGACACAATAAATTCTTGAGTAAATTAAAACTTCTTAAGCCTTAGTCACCTGATCGAGTTTAAGTGCGGACGGGGGCACGAGGTCCGCGGGCGGGTCCTGTGCGGCGGCGGCGGCGGCGGGGGCGGGGGCCGCAGCAGGGGGCGCGGCGCCGGCCTCCGTGCCGTTGGGCAGGCCAGCTTCCACTTTGGGAACCGCTGCGTTTTCCGCTGTACCCACATACATTCATCATCATCAACCTGTTTATATCCCCTATTCCCATACGCATTCGCTATGGATAAAACAAACAGTAACGGACCCACTAAGAATTGCGGGGCGTTAACGATTGCAGATACAACAATATCTAAAGGCTTAGTATACCTATATTTTGATTAATTTTGCATTCACAATGCCATACTGAAAATTATTTTTAATACAAAAGTTTAAAAAATCCGCTTGATAAACTAGATATAGTAAATTTTCGGTCACCCATCGCATGACCGGTCGCTGGAAAAGTTGCATAACTTTAGTAATCACAGACTCGAACTTCTAACTAATAATCATAATTATTGATATGTATTTTTGCAATATTTTAAATAGGAGTTGCTGAACGTTTCCTTTTACTAAAAAAAAGGAAAGTAATCAGAAAATTAATATGACACAAATACACAATAAATCAATAATATCACGAATATAAATTAAAATATAAAATAAACAAATTAACATATCGACGCTGGAAAGCAAACACGTAGTAACCTGCAAAACACCTTAATTGTTACCATGGACGGAATTATTAATCGAAAATAATAAAAGTTTTTCTGCTCTGAAGAACATTGATATTGCAGGTTACTTTTTTGCTTTCCAGCGTCGATATACACACTGCAACGGTAAAATCACCACTCTACACGTATTTCGCCCCTACATGGCGCATCCTCAGGAGATGTTAGATATTATATTTTCACGGTTATATATATTAAAATTTAAATGATATTCAACAATAAGACAAATCAAAATATAATATGTCACCTTAATAAAATAAATATGTAAGGTACCTACCTGGTCTGGTTTGCGGTGGTCTCGCGACGAGAGGCTGTAATCCCGAGGGAGTATCGGACAACACGTGGAAGTGTGAGGTGGGTGGGGGACCCATCGCTGTTGGACGACATTCCGCCTCTATCTAACAACACAAACGTATAGTGCTATAGTCTAAGAAATCGTGACAAAATTGTAATTGTACAAGAGATTTATAAAACTTGATATTTTAATGTTACAGTACATATACTCAGTGCGAGAGTGCGAGTTTTTCCTATCTCTCGAAGATGTCTTTTGGCTAGCAAGAAGAACGAGAGAAAGAAACTTATAAGCTCTTAAGAGAAGTATTAAAGACATTTACACAAGCTGCCTGAGCTATCACATTAATCATATATACAAGGCGTTATAAGCGGGTAATTTATTAGTTAGATTTCGGTGTTGAAAATATATCATATTTGTGTACGGTATATTTCACCAACAGTATATAGTAAGCAGACCCAAAAAATAGTATACTATATATTATAGAACGGTTGGCAACCATCGTTCACCTCTATCTCAAAATACAAACGTATAATGTTACAACAGTTCGCCTTTATCTAAGAACACAAATGTATAATGTTACAACAGTCCACCTCTATCTAACACAATCTTATTATGTCACAACACTCCGACTCTGTCTACCAACATAAATGTATATTGTTATAACAGTCCACCTCTGTCTAACAACACAAACGTATTATGTTACAACACTCAGACTCTATCTAACAACACAAATGTTTAATGATACAACAGTCCGCCTCTAACAAAACAAATGTATAATGTTACAACACTCCGCCTCTATCTAACAACACAAATGTATAATGTTACAACACTCCCACTCTATCTAACAACACAAATGTATAATGATACAACAGTCCGCCTCTATCTTACAACTTCAATGGTTTTTGTTTTCACATAATTATATGTTCCTTGTAATATTAAGACAAAGATTAGGTTAGGTTAATCTTCAAAACTACTATATAATTCAATTACTGTATTCTACCTTAATTGCATAGAAAATTTCATAAAGTAGTAACTCAAAATCGAAAAAGCAATTAGAACGTTGTGTAGTCTATTAATATACGCCTGTCAGTGATTGCTAGGCATCTATAATATTCTTCATCTGATTTGGCTGTACTATATTAAGTACCTGGTAGTTGATGAGGCCCCATTGTTCCAGGAATCCGTGCACGCGCATGATCGCGCACACATCGCCCGCCAAGTTGCGTCTGCACGCTGTACTCGTCAAATATTCCGTCGGGTTCAGACGGTACGTGTCGATCATGAAATTCCTAACATAGATAAATAAATGTTAATGTACATAATATAACATCCACAACAGCTTTTTAATGTCCTTACTTCTGAAACACAGACCTTCAAGACCCTTCCCCCTTAATCATAATGATAATCTTTATTGCGCTACTTAAATAGGACACATTACAAAAACTATTGAAAACAGTACACAAATGGCCTTATTGCTTATCAGCGAATTCTTCCAGGCAACCAATGGTATTTAGGTAAAAATAAATAAGGAGTAAAGAGGGGGGGGGGAGGGTCAATAACGATAGAATATTAAACAGATACATCTACAGAAGGAGAGATGATGTAAAATAAATGATTGAGTAAATAACCGGCCAAGTGAAGAAAAAGATCACGTTTGTTGTAAGGAAGCCCCCTTAAATATTTATTTTATTCTGGTTCTTTGTATTTAATAATTGTTGAAACGGCAACATGAATATACCTGTGAAAATCTCAACTATCTAACTTTCATGGTTCACGAGACATAACCTGGTGACAAACATATACACAGCGAAGTCTTAGTAATATGGTTCCCGTTTTATCCTTTGGGTACTGAACCCTAATAATGGCTTACGAAATTAAAGTAGCATTTATTTTAGTCAGGACCTATGTAAATAGTGGATGTAATGAAATAGGGGGATATTTTTATTCGTTGTTTTTTACATTTTTACAGTGATCGAGTCTATCCTTTAAAGTATAAATACTTGTGTCAGGGGAGACCCGCTCTTATACAGTCTACTTAGTGAAGAATAAAAATTAATACAAGCTTAGTGTGTGCAGTGTTGTCAATCAATACCAATATTGTGTGTGTGTGTGTGTGTGTATGCATATGTGCTTATTCCTTACTATTAAGTTTAACAGAATAGAATATATTCAGTTACTCACCGATAAGCTAAATATATCTCTGGCGTTTTAGACTTGTTCTTGCCATTAAAGAACTCTGGCAGAGCTCTCTTCTCTATGGTATGTATGGAGTTGTAGTCGAACCAGGCGGAATAAGACGGCACAACTATATGATGCGTTTGATCGGTAACATTGTCTTCTAATTCCTCTTTGATTATCATCTCCTAGAACAAAGTTAGCTAATATTTATATATAAATATAGTATATAAATATTTTTAACGAGAAATGGTTTAAAATCCACTTTGTCCCTTTGCTCTGAGATGGGACACGAACCCATGGCCTTTCCCAATCCGGGCGGCCCATCTTAGACTACCCGGAATAAAGTGGATTTTTAAGCATTTTTCACTAAGAATATTTTTCAGTATAGAATTGTAAACCTAAAATTAATCATATAAATAAATAAATATTGGACGACATCACATTCATTGTTTAGAATCAAAGATAAGTAGCTAAAGTCTCCGTACTGAGGAGTATTTGACATCGTAGGTATCACAACACCGACAATATAGAATAGCGTATTTTCTATATTGACCCGACCGAGAATCGAATCCGGACCTCAGGGATTGCGACACCTTGTGTTTACAAGTTCATATTATTAAGACAGATTGATGATCACCTTAGCCGAGTGTTTACTCTGTCTTAGTTAACGAAATAAAGATTATACGAATTATATATCGTTTGAATTTTCGCTTTTATCTAGATGACAATCATCGAATCGCAAAATGGGTAACAGAATAACATTTTATCCAAATCTCATGTTTTTTTAGAAGTCACCTTGGAAGTTAGTTATAAATTACATAAAATATACATTAAAAAACTACCTGGAAGAAATTGAATTTTATCAACAACATCGCCAACCGTATTGTATTTTTTATATGTGCTATTTAAATAATTATTGTTAGTTATTCAAAATTAATTCCAGAAACTGATACTCATCATTAAATCTAAGAGAACCAATAGTTAATAATAAAAAGATATACCTGTGTGTTAGAGTCAGAGTGTTTTCCTTGCGAATCGTCATGCGTATCGATAGGTGGCGCGGGCGTCGACCCCCTGGGGGGCGGAGCGCTACTTTCAGATACAGGGGGCGCGGTAGGGGGCTCTGGCGCTGCTGCGGGAGCTAACAAGAATAAGGCTCATATCACTATACTCAGCATAGAATTTAGTTTGATATCAACGATAAATATCGAATTTTTGCCGAATATATTTTTAACTACCCGTGTGATTATTAATAATTCGTTACGTTTTACTTTTATAATTTTATTTATTTACACACCCGAACGTTGATATATCCACGAGCAATGTCTTATATGTAGATACTTCACACACCGCACCAACTTAAGGTCGTAAAACATAGACGTACAAGTTTACAATAAAAACTTGATTAATCATTTTTGAGGTTCAATGAGGTTCGTTGAGGTTCAAAGTGTTGAAATATGTCAAAACTCGTAGAACAAATGATGTTGTTCGACATGTTAGCTATCTAGTTCCGCGAGATTACTTGTATTGTATTAATAGCCCTGTATAACACTGACCGATTGCCGGTGTAGTATAACTAACCGTATAAAATACCGTATAAACCGTAGACAACTGAAAAGGTATCGTTGAGTCCTTAAATGTGCTATCTCTTCTTTTTAATGTTGCAATACTTAAAATGTAAAGTCCAGTAAAATATTTCCTTGATCTAGTCCTGCGAGATTACCGGTTTTTCATTAATAACCCTGTATAATACTGCCGGTGTTATTTAAATAACCGTGTATAAATAATACTGACCGTCAGTGGATCGTTCGTTCTCTGGCGTGGGTACGGCGTCCGTGTTATCACGTGACGCGTTATCTTCCTCATCGTCAACATCGATATCACGACGCTTCGAATTGCGACTGTGGAATTCAATTTATTACAACGTTTAAAATAGAAAACACACAGCTATCCGTAGGGTAATCAAAATCAATTAACTTTATTACACTCTATAGAACAAACACTCAATCTTAAATATCGATTTAATGATGTCTTTAAACTTTAATTAATTATTATTAATTAATAATTTAAATTTGAAATATTGTTTCGATAATGTAAATGTAGACGTTTGTATGACCATAGAGCTAATAAATAGGTCAGTAGTGCAGTTCGATTATCGACACGCTACTAGAACCACTCTGATTGGCAAGAATTTCCGTGCTTCAAACGATAGCCTTCTGCGCAGGTTTTACTGTACCAGGTTACTATATAGTTTCATACAAAACAAAATAGACCCTATTAACATAACTACTATTAAAATCATAACTCAGAACTGACCTCTTCCTCTTTCCATGTTTCTGAGGAGGCGGGGAGGGGGAGCGTTTCCTCTTGCCTTTCTTGCTTTTCCCGGAAGATTCAGCGCCTGGGATCAAATCGTCGACAGATAGACGTAGTTTGTGTACCTATATGAGTAAGAAACAACATTTAAATTATTTTTAAATCTTGTTTGTTCATTTGCAAAGGTTAAATGTGTTCATTCTTATAAACAACTATATGATTTCCTGCAACTTAACCTGCATGAATTATAGCCTATATCACCCACGAATGTTGTAGCTTTCTGTAGGTAAAAGAGTTGGTAGTTTGGTATCATAGATTCTAAAATGCAGATAGCATTTGTTCCTACTTCAGTGATAGTGGACTAATTTAACTTTTTATTAACATTAATTATCATCAAAAAGAATCGCGGTCCACCTCAGTAATTAACAAATTGAATTTAGTTGAGAGCCTTTTTCCAAGCTTACTATTTTAGTATGTTAATGTTTCTCGCTTCATAATATACTAAAATTACCTTCTTCTTCCCGTTATGGTCGAGCTCGTAGTCCTCCTCATTCATCCACTCGTTGTACTGCGGCAGATCAAGTACCCACGATGCGGATACACGCCACGGCTCCGACCTGTTGCAATCCCAGTTCACCGTCTCCGGTACATCCACCTTGCCAACCAAATCAACCAATTATGTCTTTTTTTTTGTTATTATAGGTAAAAAATTGCACTTCATAAAATGAGAAGTTGCAATCTCATGTTCTATTAAAAATCTCAACATTTTTTTTCTACAAGTTTAAAATCTTTCATATAATAATAACATTTCAATTAATTTACTGTTCGAATGTAAATAAGGGCTCGGACACATAAACACGATATGACGATATTACGTGTTACGACACGACACCCTTGATATAGAAACCCACGTTGCGTCGTAACAAGGATTCGTCGTAACGTGTTTATGTGTATGAGCCCTTACTCTACGCGCAACGTCAATATATAGACTCTTCAAACAACGCGCGAGCATCGTAGAATAACGTCGACTTTTCGTCTACGAATAAAACATAGGCGTATAAATGTCACGATAGTACAAAAAAAAAGGAATTTTTAAAATAATCAATCAAGTAAAAGTTTTTTGCATCAAATGATATGTTTATGATATTAAGAAAATAATCTTGTTTGGTTGGTGTTTTACTAATAGCCCTGTATAAGATATAGGTAAAAGTATTATTATTATTATACACATACCGGTAGATCGGCTTGGGCCCAAGTATCATGGCTATCAGGTAAATAATACCAATGGACGAGCACACTGTTGCCTCGACGGAAGACTGGCCGAGCGTATTCCTCTTCCAACGGATCAACCGTCGGATAAATTATATGGGTAGCGTCCTCTTCGTCTTCTAAACAAACGACAAACGTATCTTGTTGAGTTATGGTCGAAGATAGCTTACAACGACATCAAATTAATTTTATGTTACAATAAAGTTCAAATTAATATAATGTTGCAACTATTCTTTCTAAAAGAAATGAATATGTTCAATGGTAAGTTGTATTAATGCTACGAAAACTTTTTCCATTACTCTTACTCTTAGCATATTTTTTTGGAAAATGAAAAGGGATATCTGCACTATTCCCAATATTACAAATACAAAAGATTTTCCATATCATTCCTTAAATATAAAGTTCACTCTCCAACGACTTCAAAGAAGCTTTCTTAATGCACATCAATAAAGTAACAAATTACAATTAAGAAACAACGCGATATAAACTGAACTACAAAAAAAACACAAACGATGCATATTCGAATATGAAGATTTGATAATTACCGCAAATATCTCCTTGATGATGTCCGACAATATCCTTCACTTTATTGGCGGTAGTTTTGTCCACCTCAGGACGAATGTACACGCACGGTGTCTTGATGTATTCTGATGAGACGAGCGCCGATTCTATCTCCATCATCATTTGCACGTTCAGGTCTTTGCGTGAAGGATTCTGCAAATGGGGGACGGGGATTGGGGAGGGAGAGAAATTTAGTGTTAGTACATACGAATTCGCTGCGGCTATCAAAATAACCTACTCATTACTAAGTTCAATACATTTTTCAATTAATTAAACTTCAGTTAAATGCATTTGAAACTGAACTTTATTTTTTAGGTATATGGCTGAATAAAGTTTAATTAAAAAACTTGACATAGCGAATAATTTCGTAAAAAAATACCTAAATCATTTATAAAATTATCTTATAACATGCTTGTAGTTAAAAAAAAAACACGTGTTATAATGTTATATTAGTATAAAAACCACACATAATATTAATTTAACCTACAACATGTTATCTTAAAATATGATTTTTATTTACAAATACATCAAATATTTTAAAAAGGCTTTATATGTTAACCATACACATATATTTTTGTAGATATGTTTACTTGTCTTGGTCCAATTTTATTGTGCATGGCTTACATAAGATATAGACATTATTAGTTGTTTCCGCATAAAGGTAATATTATAATCGCATAGTCTATTATGAACCTAAATCTCTGTATATTTGGGCTTTAAATCGATCGGATATATTTTTACTGAAGACAGACACGGTTGAAAGTACCTGAAAACATCCTAAGTAAAAATTTAATCTATTTATTTCTACTTTACATATCAATACCAATATTATAAAGAAGAAAGATTTGATTGTTTGTTTGCATTGAATAGGTTCCGAAACTACTGATATGATAAAAAAATATATCACCTGTGGAAAGCTACATTATAAGCTGATAAAATAGGCAATAATTTACACGAGCGTAGTCGCGGGAAAACAACATTGTTTATATTCACAGGTAATATCGCATTTTTAGTATTTCTTGTCTATGCTTTTATTATTGTTTTGCTTGGGCATTGTATTTAGTATAAATACGAGTATGTATTAAATAATATATAAATTCAAAATTCTTTAATATACAATAATTTGAACCTAACTGCCAATACGTTAAGACTTAAAATCGACTGGAGAAATTTTATAGTTTTTGATGGTATGCAGTTGTTTTTGAATTCTATGGGCGACAAAAAATAACATCTACATCTGTATATGCCTCATCTTGATACCCATAACAAACACTGGCATAATGGTTTTGGCATGAAATGGATATTCATTTTCCGTAAGCAATGGTAACCCATTTCCACACATTAACCCATGATTTCCTCTTGGTAGGATAATTATGATAACAAGTGTTTCTCCTTCTCTTAAAAGTAAATTAATTCAAAAATATATCGAAAAGAAATATTGGAATCATGCTTAAAGGTATCCAGAAGTGTATGGTAAATTAAAAAGACTATTACTGAAAAACAATAACTTTGTGATATTTACAGAAATAAAAGTTAACATTTTGGTTAATATACAAAATAGTATCATACCCTGATCATTCGTGCTTTTGGATAGGCAACATGTTTGTGACACATATGTTTATATTAATTATGATCATACGATAGCATAACTTTACCATTTTTTTTGACCCATTATAGGTACTAATCACTGATCAATGAAGTTTAAATGAAAAGTATGTCATCAGATTTCTATCAATATAAAAATAATCAAGACAACATTGCATTTTAGGTAATGGGTATAGTGGTTAGGGCGTGTGAATTCGCCGCTAGAGGCGCTATAAGTTAGCGTGGTCTTCTAAATGCTACATGGCACAGTTCGTAGCGGGCTGCATACTATATAATTTTTAAGAGCTGCTGTCCTCGCGGAGTACTATTGACCAGTACACTTACTCTTGAACGCAATCTCAGTGTCAATTCCAAAGCAATACAATGACGATCTCAATTTTCACCAAATCTTAGCTCGTACTCTTGAAACATAGAGTCAATACTTTCTCAAAGTCAATTAGTTCACGCAATAACCACGCAACACTATCGGCGCTAGTATACCAAATTAAACGTACGAAACGTCACAATTGCAATGTCGGTCGATCGCGATTTCGTTCAAGAGTAAGCATTCGAATTCGAATTCACTCATATGTCTTATTTCACGTCATTTAGTGAATAAATTTTATTGATTCAATAGGGATGACGACTGGGTAAAAAAAATGCAATTCTATTTAGTCCGTCAGTCAAATAATAGAAAAATATTAGATACGTATTTTTTTTTACTTCAATTTAACAAGAAATAGCTTAGATAACGGGCATTAAAGTTGCGGAGTGGGGGCTCGCTACGTCACAGTTGAGTAGAAAACGTACCATAACGTGACGTCATGCGAAATTTCAACTCCATATAACGCCGTAATTTTATGAATACGAAAAAAATAAAAAATACGTGTTTAATATTTTTTAACACCGCCTGACGGAGAAACAAACAAAAATTAGTCATCATCCTTATTTTTTTTGTATAAAAATACAAAACACACTAATTCTATTCCTATGTTATTTCGAAACTCACTTCGCCACGAAACGTTATTACCAATTCAAGATTGAGCAAATGCCTCTTTTTGAAGTGAATATGGACGCCTGAGTGAAAACGAATTCGGGTTTGGATTTTTACAGATTGAGATTCGGCTGAAAACGAACTTTTCTACAATTTAATGCGTCTGGGTGTTGTTTTTCGTTCGTTGTTTCGGATTTCCAGAATAATCCGGTCCTAGAAGTTACTTAGTTTGGAATCTGAGTAATGTATGTGATGTTGTCTAATGAAAAAAGTTATCAGGAAGTTGTTAACGCAAAAAACAATGCTATCGTCTCTCGAATACATGAACTGATCCAATGCTATCATCATGTATGTTACCAAGTGCAAAAACAATTTTCTTGATAGAAGAAAAAATCTCTGCTATTGAAAAAGCATGGTCTACCATTAGTGTCTATGTTGCTAGTGCATTTATTAAACAGGTTGTATTTAATTACTGCAATTAACAGACTGCATAAACAATAAATAGTAATAGCTATTTAATTGATGCATTTAGTAAAAATATATTTTATTCCTAGGGCAGGCAAAACAAATGAAAAATATCCAATCAATTATATGATACTGTATCATTTTTTCGGATTATTGCATTTCATGATATGATTTGCAGAAATACATACAGAGTTCTATGGATGGTGTAGAATTAGTTTCTAACTTATAATTGAAAAACACTTTGGTTGTAGACTGATCAATGCCATTTAAATATTTTTTACAAAGATGACTCATGAAACCGTTAAGAGCTGAAAAGTTTCTGCACCAATTTTTATTGTCAGCAAAGACATAAAACAATGCTGAATGATTTAAAAGTGTTATAAAGAATGTTTAAAGTTTACAATAACACTTAATAGCAAAATTTAAAAATTTATACCTCATATTCTTTTGATACTTTGAAATTGTATCAAAAGAAATCCTACAAAAATAATGTGTATGTGCATAGGACAGGCGGAAAATGGACAATGATCCAAAGTATTACATGAGCATTGAAAGCAAACAATACTTATCTGTATTTATACTGTATTAATATTCATATAATACCTAATCTGTATCATTTAAGCGAAGTACTGCCTATTGTACAGCCTAAATTACCTTATAACAGGCGGTATTATCTTTAAAATTTCACATAATATTGGTGTTTTAGGATTTCATGCCCAATAGGAAACCCTCTTACTAAGACTTTGTTGTCCATCTGTCACCAGTCTGTGTCTCATGAACTAATAAATGGTTGAAATTTTCAAAATTCATGTATTTTTACTTGTCCATAGCCTTGTTCAAAAGCAGTAATTAAATTAAGTGTTACATTAAAACTAGTGTCACAAACGTGTCGCACAATGCATTGTTAAGTATTGTCGCGGTGCAGGTACGGCGGACGGGCGGGTTGGTACGGTGAGCGAGGCGCGTGCGGGGCGGTGCATACCTTACCGACCTGGAAGTCGAACTTGCGCCACCGTTGCTCCGACTTGAAACGGAACATGGTGGCTAGCACTGTGCAAAGCGAACCACCCGCTTTCATGTCCATAAACACTTTCATCTGTAAATAAGAATTAATTATAAGTCTGTTAGATATCCAGTGCACAAATGTCCCCTACAATTGACATTAGCTACCACTTTTTTATTGATTTTGAACATTCAATAGTTGTCATTAGACTTTATTAGATGTTTTTGCAACTATGTGTCAATCTGTTTAATTTATAATCATAATAATCATCACCATATTGGATAGGCAAATGAAATCTACAATTGATAAATTTTTTCAACATGAACATGGGAAAGAAAAAGTTTACTACTTGTCATGTTGTTTGTCATGGGGTTTTGCAATGGCATTATTCAAATAATGCTAGCATAAATATTACTTTCATTGGATGTTGAAATATTTCTATCAAACCTTTTTAATGAAACAGTTGACTGTTCTTAACCTAGTTTTTGAAACAACATATATTTATTTCAGATAAGACACCTACTGTTCGATGATCTATCATATGAGTATCTCAGCTGTAAGAAGTGGGTATCATACATCTGAATACTTAGAGAAATTGACAAACAGTTTTAAGCAATATTTCTATACTTACTGGAAGCCTCAAGAAAGGGGGATCAGAAGCATTTTTTCCCAGTTTATTTTCTTGGTACTGAATAAGTTGTATAACCAGTTGCGCCAATCCCTCTTTTGTAGGTGGGTCAGTTTGAACATGCTAGAATAGATAATCAGTTAATATAAAACTGCAATGATAATGATTCCCTGTATAACTTTTGAATTAAGAAGTAGCTTTCAAACAGGCAAAAATAAGGGAAGGTGAATAAATTTACCAGTTGGAAAAAATAAGCAAGTAGATCTAATGTTTTTTAACAATTTTCTCACTAGTTATTTATGTTGTGTGATTGGTGTGTATGATTGTAAAAAATAAGACATGTGTTTCAAAGTGTCTTTCTATCTCTAAAATCGTTAAACCAACATTAAGATATCATAAGAACAAATGGGTCCCCAAAACCAAGGTTTCCCTTTATCAACAAAATTATGTTTTACATAATGTCAGTGGAAATTGGCACAATGGATGTAGCACAATAATAATATGCTCACTTAGACTAAAATAAGTTTACAAATAGTAGCTAAGTCCATACCATTACTCAATGAGTTCATTCACAACAAATTTATCACAACAATGTGATTGCCTTACCAAAGTAAGCCAAGGGTACAGGTAAATCAGCTTAAATATCAGTTCCTTACATTCAATTATAATGATTGCCAGGGCATCAGATATAAAAGAAAGCAAACTAACCTTTTTACAATTTTTCTGCAACCAAACGCGAATTTGATCGAATTGAGCTAGTGATTCTGACGATTGAAAGTATTCAACATTGGGACCACCGTCTTTCTTCGGACCTATAGTCGTCATATTGAGGTCTAATAGTCACTTGGCTTTTAAAATATAAAGATTTTTGAAAATATTGAATACTAAAACAAGTCCTCAGACGTCGGCGTCGTTTTCATTTCCGTTTTGACATATAAAAAAACTTGCCAGTGTTAAAATTCCTTTAATCTTTTTTTAAATGGCAATAAACTTTTTCGTTTAGAAATATTTTTAAACTAGATTTTAATTACATACGAAAATATTTATACTATAGTTGCATATACTACTCTTTGTGCATGAAACTACTTTCATTGCATTAACTTTGCTAGCAATAGTTGCATGAAACTACTTTCATTGCAGTAACTTGTATATAAACGTCTACTTTCGCAATGCATTCGTTTCATGACATTACAGTAATTTCGTAACGCAAATACTTAATTTCGATGAAACTAATTTCACGCAACTAATTTGAACTTCGATTTACTTAGCGAAACTAGTGTCGCCACATTATACACATAGTGAATCTTCGATATGGACCATATTTAAAATAATGTTGGTTGCACGTAATTCACATTATTATGAAAATAAGTAGTTTCACATATGCCAAAAGTAGTTTCGTGAAACTTGTTTTTAGTTACATGCAACTATTTACTTTAGTATGTCCGATAATGTAAATTTGACTTTCCATAATTAATTGAGCTAGTGATTCTGACGATACGTTATATATATACGTTACCTTGTGTCAGTAACACAGTTCTCAAACTATACTTACTATGGGCTGCAGTTCGTTGAAGCCACGTTGAAGCACAGCACAGAATACAGAGCACAGTGCAGCAAAATAATTCAAAGGCGTACAAACTTTAGTTATGTAATAAATATAAAAAAAGAGTAAAGGATGTTGGCCGATTATTATAGCAAACATTGCCTTATGTCTTACTTATTTAATTACAACGAAACTGGGAGGTGCCACCTCTGCCAGACAATATACCTATGAAATCAGTCAATAGATCGTGAGCTAAGAAGGGTTTGCCTTTATTTTAGTTAACAACAACCTCCTTTCATTTTGTCTATAGATACTAATATTATAAAGAGGAAAGATTTGATTTTTAGTTTGCATCGAATAGGCTCCGAAACTTTTTACATAATACAATATCTTCATACTTTGAAATATAAAGCCTACATATTATTTTGAATAAAGTGGAAGAGCGCAAAAATACAATATAGATACTCACGTATTTCTTTTTTTTTAGTTTTGATGTCACCATTATCATAATTTGAAATGTTGATTTAGTTTTTTAATTGGCATAAGAAGGAAAATAAAATATTTAATTAAAACACGCATAGTTTTAATATTTCAATTCAAAATACATAATCGCAGTCTTATAATAAAAAATATATTCTAATTAGGCATCTATATATTTTAATTATTACAAATTGAAATTGTATTCTAAGTAAAATAAACATCGCTAAGGTTTTTCTTCACCAATATCTTATATATAATAAGTGAAAACCGCACGTTTTAATAACAATCTGCGTTAGGAAAAACGAATTGGTTTTCAGGTCGACCTCCGGTGCCTGTTCCTTCGATAGCGAACAGTGACCCAGCCTCGGGCTGCGTGGCCAGTTCTGCTGGGCTCAACCCTTTACGGCCGGTGGTCACGTACAATATGGACAGATCGGGCCCGCCCCACATCACAGATGTAACTTGAGACGCTTTTATAGTGTGCTGTTCTAGAAGCTTTCCTGCCCTTGAATCTATTTTGATTACCTGGAGAATACACAACAATTATTGATGTAAATATTAAATTCATTATAAATTCGTAAATATATTAATTTAACCGGGAATAAAACCCGGGTCATCAGAGATGGTGACATTTTGAAAACGTGTGAGCCTCTCGGATATGATGGCATAGATCTGAGCGCTTAGTGTAAGTTTTTTAAAAGCTTTTATTTTAATTGCAATGGATGTAAGTATGTTTGTTCGGGTGAAATCTATGAACTCGTGTATTTTGAGAACCTCCAAAAAAAACTTGATTTTTGACGCCGGTTTTCAGTTTAGTTTGAGGAAAAATATATTCACTTGATATATTACTACCTTCCCTTTGTGATATTTCGTATTTTTTGATGAACCTCCTCCCCCTTTTGAGCCTCACGTCATTAATGGATGGCCCCTTTTATAGGTAATGGTACGGAATCCTTTGTATGCGAGTCTGATCCACACTTGGCAGGTTTTTTGTGAGTAAAGCCAAATTTACATTCCGGAATTAGTATCATGCATGATGAAACAAGTTTAACACAACTATCTCGGCACATGTGAAACTTGTTTCGGAATGGTATTAATCAACAGTATCTCTGAGACACTGGCGGTCCATTAGCGTTTAATGAAGCCTTTAAGCTCTAATGAATGTCAAATTTGTATGGGTAATGTCGCTTTTAACTAATGACTTTTGTGCAACTGGCTTTGTGGCTCTGTCAACATTGAAGCTTTATTATGGGCAGAGTAGTTTCATCATGTCATCATCATGCATGACATTAAACTACTTTAGTGTCGTGAAACTAATGCGTGCATTGTGAAACTGGACATTACTCGTGAAAATTCTAGCAAAATTAACGTAAAGAAATTTTGCAATAGATTCGTTATGTAAATTCGGCTTTAATCATACAAGAAAGTTTTTGTAAATGATAGAAAGGTACAGCCTCACCTTTCCTCCATCATAGCATGCGACCCACAAGTTTCCATCTCTGTCTATAGTCATTCCATCAGGTGACCCCGTCACGTTATTGGCTTGGAAACTAAACAAAGTCCGCCTGTTTCCTGCAAGAGAAATATGTAATTATAAAGTCTTTATGGTTCCTTTGTTATGATATTTGTAATTTTATGTAATAATCTTTATTTTACTGTTTCAAATACAGTATTTTTATACAAATACAACTCTATTAGCGTTGTGGGTATGTCCATAACCCCGTATATGAATCTTAAAATAAATCTGTCATCTATACTTACGTATGGTTCCAGACTCCAGATTAAAATCAAAAACGTCTATATTCCTCGTCGGTGTGTCTATGTAGAACATGAACTTGCTGTCGGATGTCCACGCGATGCCGTTGGACACGGATACAGGTCGGACCTTAATCTCTGGATTCTGATAATTGTATTCGTCAATCATGTACAATGACGCCTTGTCTTTATCTAGAAATGAGCCCACTTCTTTTCCAATCGTACCTACGAAACAAATATAAGTTTTATGTCAAATTATTAACATTCTACCACATTGATTATAACTATAAACAACGAATGATAGACGCGTGTCAATTGAGTCTAAATTGACGGTTCTTTACCTTTTCACGATTATTATAGGGTAACCCCTATTAGGAAAAATTTAACTTCCCTACCCACTCGATCTAAAACTGGATTTTTTCTATACATAAAATAGTTTTATTGGCGTAACTAGACTGACAATTTTTACTACTTTATTTTTACCTCCAGTGGTTTTTAGCTTACGTGGCATACGGGGGTAAATCAACTATTCTGGGCGTTCGGGTCTTCGCATTAGAACTCCTGATCAGGATTCCAATGAGGAGACCCGAATGCCTTTCACTCAATGCATTTAAAACGCACACATTCGTTACGCTTTTAAATCGAAAAAATAATTAAGCTCATGCTAAAGTTGCGTTCGGAATTTATGGAGACCGATCAGGGAAAACGTGTGCGGCCAGGCTCAAAAGTTGAATGCATGCAAGTGTCACTAAGCCTATTCAATTAATAATAATTTCTTAGAACATTATAAAGAACAAACCAAAAAAAAGTCTTCCGTTAGCGTCGACTTTGCCATCGTTGCATCTGTTGTCTGGGAGGCCCACGTCGACAACACTGAGCAGCCGCAATGCATTATCTCCAGGTTCCGCATCCCAGTTCAATAAGTAGACACCCGAGCGAACTGTCACCAGCAGCATTTTTGGATAGTCTTTCACAGACACCACTAAAGATGGAGGTCCGTAACCTATGAAAGGAAATATTGTTTAAAAATTGTAATGTGATATTATCAATAATACTGGGTGTTGTTTATTTTCTTTATTAAAATTTCCAATAGTTTATACCCTTATTGATTTCTTACATTTTCATGCGCACTATCCATAAATGAAACAACTTTTGAACCATTCAAATGTTATTTCATTTATAGTTTATTCTCTTCTTAATTTTCCTATTGAAAAAGTAATTCCAATACTTAATTTACAAACAAATGTGTACCATTTTCATAAGGCAATTAATTCAATATAAGTGTTCAGAAAAAAATCAAAATTTCTTTAACACGGGCAGCGGAATAACCCATTTATCTTTTTATTAAGAATGAACAAATCAGCTGTTTGTAAATAAATAATTAATGTTTACTTTACAAATTTAGTTAAGTTACTTTAGTTTAGCTATATAACGTCAAATCCAATCTAACTTCTTTTCAAAAGACTTTAAAAAAGAGGAGTTTCCTAATTAGAATAAATATTGAACTTATCCATAAACTCAACTGTAAAAATTTAGCTTTATGCCGAATTTACATTACGAAATTAATTTCTTTGCGTTAATTTCAGCAATTTCACGAGTAAACATATCCAGTTCCACAATACATGCTCGCGTTTGAGCTTGCGTTAGTTTCATGACACTTAAGTAGTTTCGTGTCATGCACATATTTTTAACGTTAACTAATTTCACCATGATTGACAAGGGGAAACTAGTGTCGCGACACTCTGAGCATAACATAGGCTTCAGCTAGACTCAGTAAAAGTATTACAACATTAATTTTCTTAAAATTAATCTATGCTTAGAAAAGTTATAGATAATACCTACGTTGCGTGAAACATGGGCAGTTTTAGCATGGATAATTTTATTGTGTTGTCTAGATATTTTTAATAATAACAATAATTGTTTATTTGCCTTAAACATAGAGTATATGGTTTTGAAATAAAATATTTTTATTTTAGTATAAAGGTGGTAAAGTTGTACGATAGCCTCATTATTCACCATTTTGAAATAGCATGCAATAGTTTAGTTAAGATAGATAGGATATTCTGTATTGTACACACAATACAACACTTATATGACGAAAACAGGGGACGTATAATAGGCAGCCTTATCACTAAAAGTGATCTCTTCCAGGCAACCTTGGGATGGAGTTCAATATAAAAGACCTAATGATGTGGTAGTGGATGGTGTACCTATGAACAATTTTTAAACTAAGAATTATAGATTGTATAATGGAATCTAATACATTGAGGATAAAAATTAACCTGAGCAATAATATCACAATAATAATAATCAAATTATTACATTCTTAGTTTATAAGGTGAGAGGCTGTATTATATATTCACAAAATGTATGTAATTTTGTCAATTCTATGGAAAAAGGGTTTAACATTTATCATAATACTGTATGGATTACCTATGCCACCTAGTTATAATACCTTTTATAATACCCAGTAAAGTACTGAAATAAACCATATTGTGTTTCCGTGACATTATACCTATAAAACATAAATAAACAAATTGTAAAGGAAAAAAAATAACTGTAATCTCGTGTAAAAAGTATAGAAAAAACCATTTCGTATACGACTATGACCTATGAAATTTGTGTTTGCTGAAGAGCGATTCCGTAAAAATTCGAACCCGAATTCAAATTCACTCAGGTGTCCGAATTCACTTGGAAAGCGGCATCCGCCTAATCTTGGATTGGTAGTAACGTTTCATAGCATAATTTAAGTGACTTTTAAAATGACATAGGGATAGAATAGGTCTGAGACATGTATGAAACAATCTATCTTGTTTTGAATTTTTGTTAAGCGGATTCGCTTTCAAAGTAAATTCGGTCACCTGAGTGAATTCAAAGTCGGTCGGGTATATTGAAACAAAAAATCATGAAAATTTACTTTTATTAATTAGTCTGATTATAACACAAAACAAAATATTATATATATAATAATCGTAATAAATGTATAGATATTTTCATATACATATATATATTAATTTAACAGTCATCTTCTCGGATTTGCCGAAACTTTGTCTATGACAGTCACTCACTGTTTTCTTTTAAAACCTTTCTTCACCCATGGTGCTTCTAAGCCACGTTTTAATTCTTCGCAGCGTACTGAAGGGCCGTTCTACGGTCGCCGTGGTGCATGGGATAGTGCTTAAAATAATCAATGCCTTTCTGACAGCAGGGTAAAAAATGTTGGCTTCGTTGAACAGATCAACTACTTCTATGTCCCTTAATTGATCATCTGATAAAGCCTTCTTCAACCATAAAATATGCCAAAGGTTCAGTTCTCCGGTGATATCCAGGTTATAAAATTCTTGGAATGATTCAGCATTCTTGTGTAAGTCTGTAATGCTTCTTTTTGGTCATATACAAGGGTTGTAGCTTACTTAAAGCAAACGCCGTAGTATTTTCTTGGGAGAATCGAATATTCAACGATGAAATGAGTGAATCAATGTATGGTATTATCAGGGAACGCCGCAAATATTCGTTATCATTGTCTGATGGCGGATTATTTCTATGTGTTTGCTTGGAAGCAAGACGTGGAACCGAAATTTCTATGTGCAAATCCATTGCAACAGCTCGCGCCTTTTGAAGTATTTCATTACTTATTCTATCAGGAAACTCGCGGTCGTTTCTGAGAATGTCCTTGATATTTTTGATGTGTTCCCCACCAAAATCATGTCGATAAAATTTAGTTTGCAGTGCGTTAACTACTGGTTCTAAAACTGTTGAATATTTGGCTATTGTTTGGTCGTTCGCATCATTCACAACAAGGTTGAGTTTGTGACTTGAGCAACGAAAATATAAAGCACGAGGATATTTTTTCTCTTTCCCTACCATTGTCGAACAGCCATCGAATCCAAACCCTACGCAATCTTGGGTTGGGAGGTTAGAACTAATCAAGAAATTGTCAATTGCTTCGGCAATTGCTGAAGCATTTTGTGCTTTTAGTTCAACGAACCCAACAAATTCTTCTCTGATTTTCTTTTTACTTTCGTCGTAGAACCGCATGCCTATTGACATCTGTTCTTTCCCAGCTACGTCTGCCGTTTCATCAGCTAAGACTGCGTAAGCCATGGTCTTCTGAACCTTACTTATTATATTCTTCTTAATAACTTCGCCACATAAATTTATCAATTCGTTTTGTATTTTTGGCGATGCGTAAACTGCATTGCGACGGCACTTTTCCAGGTGACTCTTTAATTTGTCGTCACCTGAATTGATTCTCAACGTCAATAAATCTAATAAAACACCCTCATCTGTATTTTTTTCCCCTAAGCGGCATATCATGTGTACCGCAAAAAACAATCCAAGAAATGATTGATGACAATATTTGTCTGTTTTCATCGATTGCTTTTTGGTGTCTATTTTGCAGCTAGATATCTACAGGAACATTTTCAAGAAAATTGTATGCAGCATTTGTCGCTGTTAGGCGAAGGTTACTTATTGCATGCTTTCGGCAGTCTTCATGCATATTTTTGAACTTTATATAAGGCCTGACCATAAATGATCCCAAAATTTCTCTCACAGTGCTGATGGCCGGAGGGAACAAAAGACAATGCTTATAAAGAATGCGGCCTTTAGTCGCTTGCAATATACTAGGCCATGGTGCATATTGATCCAACCAAGCATGATTAAATTTTCTTTTCAAATGGCTTGCATCACTTTCAAAATTGTTATTTCTGGGCGGGATCCAAGGATTTTGTTACAACTCCCTCTTCTTTTCCGTCGATATCTGGGTAGCCAACCCAACATAACGACCCAGATAATTTTCATGATAGCCATTGTCCACTATAATTTCAGGATCGACGTTGACGTCATAAGTTTGTTGGGATGTCGATGGAGAAGAATAGTCGGCGACAGATATATTTACAGGTTCTGCTGGAGAACGTGACGCTTGTCCAATGGTAGCATGCAATGATCTTGGCATTACATTGGTAGTTTTATCATGGTTGTCGTATCGAGATAGCGCTAGATGTTGTTTTCTTCAAATTATATTCGGCTTTAATCTGAGATAGCTCTATTAAATTATATTGCATCGCTAACAGTATACTATATCGAATGTTGTGGAATATTTAATTAGAGATAAAAAAAATATGCCTGAGAAGATATTTTGTTTCCAATACTTCATTTTGCGCAGAGTAGATAACACGTTTTTAATTCCCACTTGCCGGGAAAATTAAATATGGTATATTTAATATTACGCATTATATTAATATCTATGGTCATAGAAGGTCCGAGTTCCTATCGTTGTCATCTTCACCTGACACCTGAAATCTTAAATACCTATTGTATATCGTAAAGCTATAAATTTTTTTTGTCAGTTATTGTTGGTTACTTTAAAATTTTGGTGGTTGTGTGTTGGACAGACACTACTATACACCGCACCATACATAAATAATAACAATGAAATACTTTAGTTAAGTATTTAAACAGGTGATCATAAAAGAATTATTGTATAAACCAGCAGTTCCCGAAAGAAACCTCGTTTTGTCCGAGAGTAAAATAAAACATTTGCAGAGTATACTATATCTACATACACTAACTTAATTGTAATTATCTTTGCATGTGTAATAAATATTATGTAATACTTAAAATATTATTTATCATTTATAATTTTTTCCTTCTTTGCAATTCTCACGTGAAAAACATTCTAACAAGCCCTAGTATGAACAGTAACATATAATTATATGAGATAATTGATATTAGATTCTTATCCCGGTTTCTGAATTGAGATTTTAAAGTTGAGAAGGTGTCAAACTGTACTTATACGTCACTAAGACAGGTTTTTGTATTCGATTTTAGTTTTTTAATGATTAGTTGATAGGAGTTTGATAAAACTAGGACTTTTTGAATTGTTGAAATTTTATACTTTTCTCTAAGGTAAGGTAGACTGACAAATATGTGATAATTGTATTATGTTAGAGAATAGCAAGCTTATCAGTGAAACGGTACAAGCAGACATCTCATACAAATAATACTCACCTATGTTCCTGGAGGTAACATTGCCTGTTTCATCCATTCTAAGGAGTTTTTGAGCTAGTATATCCACCCAGTATAGGGCATTCTCTGAGCGGGACCAATGAGGACCTTCTAGAAAAACACCAGAGTATACCTGGAATATAAAAATGCACCACATTCTCAAAAAAAAAATAATGCCGCCAATGAAGTTTTTGAACTTACTTAGTGTCACTAATATGGCAATGGATCTATAAATTTAGTGGGACCCTGTTAGTATCAGATTTAAAAAGAGGAATGATTATACAGGAAGCATTTAAAACCACTCTCCAAATTTGAGTATGTTAATCTTTACGACAAATAATGAAATACGGGTTTTTTCTTTTTATGTCGTTTAGAACAAAAGTGTTGAGTTATTTCGTCACCAAGTTATTTTAAAAAAACCTACATCTGTGGACGCTATCGCTGCCCAGCCCTGCGATTCTGTAAAAATCCAGACCCGCATTCGAATTCACTCATGTGTCCGAATTCACGTCATTTAGTAAAGAAATTCTATTGATGTCTCTTTTTGTATAAAAATACAAAACAAAATTGATTGATTATACATGTCTCAGATATCCTAATCCTATATCATTTTGAAACTCACTTCACTCATGCCACGAAACGTTATTACCAATTCAAGGTAGAGGGGATGCTGCTTTTTGAAATGAATTCGGACACCTGAGTGAATTCGAATTCGGGTTTTGATTTTCACAGAATCGCAGGGCAGTACGTGCGCTTTACGCGCTACGTTACTCTTACCCCTCCCTCCCTTCCCTCAATTCATTGATAGTAATACAAGTATGCTTGCGTTGACCGTAGTTGGTGTGCTAGTAGCAGCTACCTTAAATGTTTTCGTTTTGTCATGCTTGGGGAAATGGTACATAAAGTTGAAACCTCTTCCTACTTTTACGGGCTTAGGACCGTCAAATTGCAAAAATCCTATTAGATACGTAGGTATCTAATAGGATTTTTGCAATTTGACGTAGGTATCTAATAGGATTTTTACAACAGCTATACTGCTTTAAGTAGGTAAGTAAATATCGAGGTACCTAAAATTCTGTTTAGTTAAACCAATTCAAAGTACGTACTTAACAAGCTATTCTTTTGCAATCAGGCGTATTTAAAAAATCATCAACTTTATGTACATAATCAACTAATCAATTTTCCCTACCTACTTTAACTATTTGCCTACGTATACTTTAATAATTGTTCAAAGTGCATACCGTTTCTCTCCAAACAGAGTCTTGTACCTTTTCTGCACATTGTCTTTTAATTTTGCGAGCACATCAGTGTCATTTTTCACTTGGTTAAATGCCGATCTGATTTGCACTTTTAAGTCCTCGAGGTTTTGTGTTTCCTCAACATACACACGTCTTTTAATTTCGCCCCACAAATAAAAGTCTCACGGTGTTAGGTCCGGCGATCGCGCAGGCCACACGATGGGGCCTCCGTGTCCAATCCATCGATCACCATGTTTGTTTCACCATTTCATAACATTCGCGATTGGAATACATTACGACGCGCGAAATGTGGGGCTGAGGCGGGCGGCGCGCAACACGGAAGCAGAGGTTCAAAGGGGTTGTGCGCGGGCGACTGATGTTTAGTGATGAGCCCCTCACTCGCGAGGTGCCTCGTTTGAGTTCCTCATTTCGACAAAATGAGGGAGTATTCGTTTTTCAATTTTGAACCACCTCATTAAGCTCCTCACTTTTGAGTGAGGAGCTAAATAGCGAGTTGTTTCGAATGAAAAGGCGACTCGATTCTTACTCATTATTCAAGATTGAGGGAATGGGTAAAGTTTTATGAGTTTTTTGGAACGATTCAGATTTGTTTATGTGTTTAAATACGCATTTTATATTTTACAGATAAATAATATCTATTAATGAGTATAAGTAAAAATCAAAGTTAATAAAAATGTATCGGTTTTATTTAGAAATATATTTATATGATTCGAAATATAAATGATTGATCGATTTTAAAAATGGAACATTTGACACTATTGCAAATAAGTTGCGTGTTGTGGTCATTCTGTTAAATAATAATATAATAGAGTTTATTTCTTAGAATCTAAAGACAAAATATGTTTTGTTTAGCATTACCGACTCGCTCCCTCATTTTGTGCCAAACGGCAATGTTACGCGCGCCTCGCTACGTACTCATTCACTGCTACTATAACATTACCTATCCTCACCTCAAATGAGGGGTAACTCGCAAGCCCCTCATGAGGGAAAATGAGGTACTCACTCATCCTCATTAAAAAAGAGTGAGTAACACAACGCTACTGATGTGCGCCGACAAAATCAAAAACCGAGCAGACATCGTCGTCGGCGCATGCGCGTACATCCCCTGCGCCCGCGCCCTTGCTACCCCTGCTTGTTTCATTCATAACTCATGTAATGTGACAATGCGAATGTTATAATTATCTTGTAATTACACCAAGTTTACATTTCATTTTGAAAAATTTACATACTGTTTTTTTTTTCATATATGTGATCTATTAACGGTACCTAATGCCTAGAAAAAATTTGGGGAGTCATTTTAAATGCATCCGGTATACTTATTACATGAGATCTGAAAATAAACCCTGATTATTATAGTGATTGAAATTATCAGCAATAAAGGGAGCTCGATAGCACAGTGGTTAGCGCGTTAGGCTTGCAATGCAACTTTCGCATGTGCCGGTCATAGGATGGGTGACCAAAATTTTATTATCTCGAATTCCTCCGTGCTTCGGAAGACACGTCAAGCTGTTGGTCCCGGCTGTATCTGCAGTTGTTAACACCCAAAAATACGCAATGGGCCCGCGTGCTATTCGAATTGGCTCGATTACATCCATAGGGAAAGCCTGCTGGTGATTACGAGGGAGAAATTGTATTATATTTTGATCTCAGGGTGCCAGGGACCAAGTGGATTTTTTAAACATATTGTATTTAGAAATTGTTTTGCCTACTCTACAAGAATATCTACTGATATCAGTCCAGTAGTTTTTGTGTGAAGAAGTAACAAACATCCAAAACTACAAAATTTTGCATTTATAATATATAAAAGCTTATGGCAATCCCGTATGTAGTAGTAACAAATAAATATACAAACAAATAACCCAATTATTCCTCTTTATAATATTAGTATAGACTTACTAGAACCTGTGTTAAAACTTTGGTTATATAATCAAAGTGATGATTTATATTATTACGTATTGCTAAAAATGCAAACTCTTATCTGGCTACTTTTATAATAAAACACATAAAACCTGTATAACGATACTCAATCACGAAGACTTGTCAGTCTACGCTTAATACGTACATACGTCAGCAACACATTAGGTTACTGTGATTGTTACTATTTTGATATTTAAATCTTTAGAAATAACAGTTTTAAAAGTACAATATGAATGTCACGCACGATCAAGGCTAATTGCTCCTTTCAAAGTTTGTAAACAAAAGTAAAAGATATACCTAATCTATTTTAAATGACATCACGTTTACGAATTTAAAAATCCAAACCCGAATTCGAATTCACTCATGTGTTCGAATTCACGTCATTTAGTGTAGATTTTTTTTACTCCATTTTTTTTATCTCAGATATTCTATTCCTGTCATTTCGAAACTCACTTCACTTATGCCACGAAACGTTATCACCAATTCAAGGTTGAACGGATGCCGGTTTTTGAAATGAATCCGGAATGAGAGAAATCGAATTCGGGCTTGCATTTTTACAGAATCGCAGGGCTGTAATTAACACATAACAATGAGATAGAATTCGGAATATTTACCTCCCTAATTTTCAGTTTAAAAAGTCTGAAACGCGTTGAAATCTCTTCTATTAGAATTACAAAAAATATATGGTAGAGTTAAAAGCCCTATTACATTTTAACTGTGATTTACTTTAATGTTGTTGAACAAAATTTTTGTCAAAATAAGGTATAAAGATTTCATAATTTTTTAGCACAATTATCCTGTTTTAACAAAAAACGATCCGGCGGCCGTTTGAGCTTAGTTTTTTCAGTCGTGTAGCGAGTTTTGAATTTGTAATAGCGACTTTATGAATAAGCAGACGGTACCTACAGTGAACCACGCGATATTTGAAAAAAAAGTCACCAATACAATTCCACTATCAGCGATTATGTCATATTATATTAATTTTAAGGAGGCATGAAGTTTGCGGCGAGAGATAGTAGTCAATAGCACGTTATACTATACAAAACTGTCAAATTTCCCCACTAGATTTTAAACATTAATACATTGAAGGTAGAAGTCATTATACATTGTAGAAGTTTTACATATTGTAACCTGACGTGTAGCCGTGTGTACTTAATATATAAAATTAAAACAATAAGACTATTTTTAAACTATAATAATTTTGTTTTTAAAAGACTAACTAGTTAGAGGTAGCCTATGAATGAATACTTAGTCGCAGTATTCGGTCGAGAAAAGATTTTTTATAATCAACTAGATGAATTGAACCTGTTCATTAAGAATAAATACACAAATCTTTTATATCTAATACTATATAAGTACAACGTGCTATATTTTCAAAAGTTTTATTAATACTTACATTCTTAATAAGTGGAGAAGACGATCTAGCTGCCACAGAAATTACTAAAAACACACACAATACTACAGTATTTTTTAAAATCATAATGATTGTCATACGACTGCGCTCTACCAAAACGGCTGACTCAATGGTGAGTTACTGCGCCCGCGCAGATTGATCGAATCGTATATATTTATACACAATAACATTCACCAATTTCGCCATCGTTGTTGCACCGACACGGGCCATGTTTATGGTATAGTAGACCCATAGAAATATAAATTGTGAAAAAATGGAAAGTTTACCAATTTTTTCGTGCACAGTTTCCTTTTTGGTTGCTAAGAAACGACAGAAAAACAGTTTATTTCTTATTGTCTGCTTCCTGTGAGAAACATACACAATATTGTTTCTGTGTTACTAAGGATGTTAAAGCAACATCAACAAAAAGTTTGCGAATAACTATTTATCTTAAGTGAGTTGAAAAACATTTAAACTGTTAAACGCTCTGTTGCCCGGGTCACTCATTCTGCGGAAGTACGACCTTAATGACAAGGTCTTTTACCGGTACACTAGCTGTTTTCCCACGACTTCGCCCGCCAAAATTATAACTTATGTTACCTGTGTATGATGTAGCTTCCTATAAGTGAAAGAATTTTCATTATCGGGCTAGTATTTTCGAAGATAACTCCCAACAAACAAAGTTAAAAACTTTACGTTTTTATAATAATAGATAGGCAATTCTCAGCATTTTTTTTTGTCTAGACACCTTATTGATTCTGTGCCAAGGTACTTATTAAGTAATTTTGTCGGAAAAAACTAATAAGAACCAATGTGTGGTGAGTACTGATGACGAATTACAGTGAATCGAGGACAAACAGCTGGATGAGGAATAGTAGTTTTGTCTTCTCTTAATCAGTCAATTAAGAGGTTAAGTAAAATTCGCAAAGACCGGTTATTGAATGGGTTATTAACAATTTGTTGTCTAACTCTAGCTTGCTTCGGAAATCCCGCTGCATCTGCTTGATTAGTGTCTTGTGGATAGTCTCCATTTACATGAGGCCAATGTCTCGGTTAGTAACCTTGTGTAAGTTTTTTTTTTCTTGTTATCTTTTATCGATCTTTTCCCAAAGTTGACCTTATCTGTCTGTGTAACAAATTTCATTAAAATTGGTTCAGTGATTTATACGAGAAATAACAACGGATACACTCAGACCAAACTGGCTTGCAAGCTACATGGCGGCTTTTAGAAGGTTTATTTATGGCTCTCGATAAATGTACCCGACTCCCCTTTTCATTTTTGAGCAATTATGCATATTTAAAAAAATATTATCGTTTCGCTTATTTTTCAAAATGCATTTTAAATTACTTTGATATGTCTTTTCCGACCGTTTTCTGAATTTAGAAAAGTACAAAATCTCGACTGATTATTCTCAATAACCTCAGCTAAGTTTCACAAGGAAAAGAGTCCTAATTTTAACAAACTATTATCAATTGATCATTAAAAAAATTAAAATCATAATATAAAACCTGTTTAAATGACGTTTAAGTACAGTTTGAGACGTGTTTAACTTTAATTCTCGACGGGTGTAAGTGCAACGTTGTAACAAATTTGTATTTGTCGAGAATTATATGACCTTTTATTTTTATTTTAATATTCATAATAAATTGTACTTCAAAAAGACCGTTCGCTTTTCGATCTGTCTATTTTCATCGAATAAACTATTGATCGTATATAAATTTCTCAACTATTAGCAATTTTTAAAATAACTGGCCTTAAGATTATAGCGATTAATTATAGCAATTATACTCAAAGTACCTAGGTAGGTTAGGTGGGTAATAATCAAACCACACAAATACAAGGCTTTATAGGTGTTACTTTATCTATACATTTATGTTAATACAACAAGGAATTAACAATATATTAAGAAATTATTGTCTTGCGATATAAAACTGCTGATTGTGTTACATATCTTTTTTTTTATAAAATTAAAATCGACTTTGATTAGGTACGTGAAAAATAATACACATTTTTATGAAAGTTTTACTTTCTAGTCGGATAGACTGATTTGTCGGATTTGTGTAGGTTGTTAATTAATATTAACATTTTTGTAGTCAGTTTTATTTTTTTTATACATATATATTACCTTGTTCATAGTCTAATGGAAAAGGTTTATAACTTCTCTCGCTAGCAATAAGATAACCGAAGCGAAGTTCTTTTATTGTCCGTTTGCCCTTGGACTTGATATAGCCGAATCTTAATATGGGAACAATAAGGTTTGCAATACGTCGTCGTATTTAGTTTATAATAGACTTTTATTAATAACGCCTCAGTAATAAGAATGATTTAATCAACCCATATCTCTCTAGACTTTAGGTAGATAGTACAATAGTAAAATGAAAATAGTTGATGTCATATTGAGATGAGATAATTACGTAGAGCTTAGTAGAATTAGCCTACTATCTTGGGAATATTGCGCAAATTCTTACTTCAAAAAAAGAGGTTCTCGGTTTAACCTGTATGTATACGTATGTTTGTGCGCGATTATCTCGAGTTTGGCTGTACCGATTTTGGTGCGGTTTTCGGCATAGTATTTGGCAGACTTGACAGGAGAATGTTTAACGTATATTAACCAACGAAAAAATGGTGGTTTGAACTTTAACACAGATTTCAGAAATGCATTTTTAGTGTTACTTATTATATAAAAACTATCAATATCATTAATCCATGCCAACAATCCAAACCGCACGACAGGGTTAATACCTAGTTATATGAAAATAAAACAACTTATATATTTTATCTACATTTATGTAAACATCTATGATATAACAAGCACGTGTAATTCAATTATCACCATTTAACAATGACATTTATAACATTAACACCGAAATTGACATACCATCGAATATTGACAGGTTTCAGGCAAACGACAAGCAGCGTCAGATACGTTAGGGGACGATGACACACTGGATTCTGGCGAAAACCACAAGGGCAACGCCAATAATTAAAAAGAAGAAGAAGAAGGATATGTTACGAATAGTAGCAGTATTGTAGCTCAATTAACTTATGACAACTACATTACATATCCATAGAAAAATGGCAAGGAATACTTTGCAGACCACATTCATCATAACATTTCCCAGTGCAGAGCACATATACCCCCATAGATCTTCCTTCTTGACGTGTATTTTTTTTTGTTATATAGTTAAGATGAAATAGATATTGGTCGTAAAATTGATCCAAAATACCTATTTAGAAAAGTCTTTGCGATTTTTTCTATCTAGCCAATTAGTATTGAAATATTTATTTCTGAAATATATATTGGTCGTAAAATTGATCCAAAATACCTATTTAGAAAAGTCTTTGCGATTTTTTTCTATCGAGCCAATTAGTGTTGAAATATTTATTTCTGTTTTAGCCAACCATCGATCAGGTTTAATTTTCATAAAATTATTTTTATATGCCTAATATCGCCCATGAAGAGTCAATAAATAATAACTGACATTTTGTCAATTTTGTTTTATTGAATTATTCGTTGTAAAATAGATTACTACATAATAGTGGCAAAGATTTTGGGTTCGTTTCTTATGTTTTTGTAAGATAAACAATAATTGCAATGTACTGAAAAAACTAATGTAATAGATTTGAAACGTATTTTTCGTCTCCTGAAAAGTTGCATTTTTGCAGTTATTATTTATCAACTCTTCATAGACGATATGTATTAGCAAAACCTTAGAGTTAAATTGGTTCAAAAAAGTGGTAAATTTATATAAAATTAACTGATATTTTTGAACTGAGGCCACGAATCTGGATGAAATACAGATATTTTTTATACTCTTCTACTGTAATAATCTGATTTCGTTTATTTAAGTAATCAATGTTTTTGTTTTACTGGGATCTGTGTATGTGGTCAAATATGTATACACAGTTATGTAGAGATATAAGCTATCTGTCCAAAGATTTCATTATTATTTAGAGTAGACGGTCTAGTTCGGGGGCGGGGAGGGTGGGGGTGAGCCAATGAACATCGTCTGAAGTGCGGTCGTCATTCAAAACATCATCGGTACTTAATCTAAACGTCCTCTAATGTATCTAACGCTTATACACTAAACACATTTAGGTACAAAACTGCCTGTTAAATTACAAAAATCTGTCAACTTGTTAACTTGTTTCTCCACTTGATTTTAAACCTTAATACATTGACAGTAGAATTCAAAATCAAAATTCAAAAACACTGTGACAATCTGACGTTCTAGTGTGTTCATATGTACGTACAATATCTTTAATTTATTGTCTTGTACTAAATTTACAATGTAAACATTTATACTAATTCAAAGAAAATTATATAAATTGAGATATTATTTGATCAGTTTCTTGAGTATTTCGAGGACGAATATTACAATGACGCAAAATCTCAATATATTTAAGTTAATGTATTGGTTTATTAATTTAACATAAAATATGCATGTATACGTATCTATATCTATTTGTGTCTATGGATATCTAAAAACTAAATTCCATATTTAGCTATACTGCAGTGGTTTTATTTTTCACAAGTTCAGCTGAAACACGTGGCACTAATCACCCGCATAGCCAGTATTTACCAGCGTTTGTAAACTTTTCCATTCGTTTCCTAATCGATAAACATTGGGCCTGAGCGTGCAATCTCATCATTGGTAACGATTATTAAGTAGCGATCGCGAAGTTCAGGGACCGAGCTGTCAATCTTGATCGCTAGGAAACTAACGAATATCGCTAATTTGACATTTGCACTCGGTACGTGCCTAACAAATAACAATATACCTATAGAGACTTGCAATAATCGAGTAAGATTGCGATCGGAAAGTCTGTCGAGACTGCAGCCCGTGAACTACTTAAATATCATGTCACATAACGTCATTTATCATCATTCAAAATTGCTCAAAAATACCATTCTGGCAGTTATTATTTTAAGCTTTATTACGGAGAGATAGATTGCATTTTTTAAGGCAGGATGTTATGGATGGCGTGGCAGTATTTATGTTGGTTTGGCACTATTTCCGCACTATCGAATTGTCACATAAAAATTGTTAATAAATGGTAAAAGGGTATTAAGTCTAAGACAGCTGTCAGATTTTATAAATATATTATAGAGGTAAAACTAGAGTATTTTTTGACCATACTAAGATGGTTGAAAAGAAAAAAAAATTGGACATCAACTT